GATATCAAAATGACATCAACTTATGCTATGATGATGATCAACTCTATAAAATGATATCAACTTAAATGCGTATTACGTTCAACTTTTTGACTTAAAATAGTATCGCTTAAACGTCAAAAATGTGATACAGGATATAATATTGATATGATCTTGATGTGACATAGGAATGTTTCTTATTACCATCTAAAAACAATGTCAACTTGGCATCAACATCATATTGACATCACATTAGAATTTTATTACTGAAGCATAATTGACCCGCAGGAATCGTGTTCTAAGGAGGCTTTGCCACTGCAAAGTACCTATTATTCGCCACATTTGTTCTAAAAATAAAGTATTTTTTTAAGATCGTGATGATTATGTTTTAATAATGAAAATACCATTGGGTTTTTTTCCCACATAAATACCCGATTTTTTCCCAGATGGGAACGAACCTGGGTATATTCCCATTGGGTTTTTTCCCACTGCCCATCTCTAGACACAACTGAAGCACATAAGTAACATGTACAGTTTTAGTTTTTGTCTTATTAGTAGCATTTATAAATATTATTTTCAAATATAAGCTACATATATTATTACTAAACGTTCGGATTCGATGAGTGAGGCCTGTACTCTTAGTACGAGTTTGAGCTCACGAAAACTAGCATAGTTTTCGTAATTGTAAATTATGTTTGTATGTCCATTTTTGTGAAAAGTAAAATTTAAGAAGACGCAAATGATTTCATTATAGAATTTAAACACTGTTTATTTGTATTGAAACTAAAACAATAAAATCAGTACCCTTAATATGAGTGCGAGCTCACGAAAACTATCAGTTTTCGTAATTGTAAAACTCGTACTAAGGGTACTTGTGACCTATAACACAGGTATTGCATACCTATTTCAGGCATCAGATTCTCACATCTTATGTAAGATTATTTCCACTTAATATGGCGTCCCATAATATGTAAGTTGTGAAGAGTAATAAAACATAATATTATTATTATTCAAGCTTTGTACCCGTTCAGTGTTTTAATTTACATAAAATGTAATAATACATTTTTATTCAAAGTCACCCAGTCTCTGAATAAGACATTCTAAAGTCATGTTAAACAGTTAGGGAATAATATCATGAGATTGAATAAATAATTATGAATTTAATAATAAATAATAGCTAATAGAAGCTTTAAGGCTATGGGCTCTTTGCGTTTGTCCTTGGCATGGAACCAAAAAATTCCTGAACCATTTATCCTGGGTTCTGAAGATACAGCGGCGCTAGCAGCGTTCAAAGCTATGACAAGCCCCTGGATCAGACGAGCCTGCAGCGGGGATCTTAAGACTGGGCTCTACAGGGATTGATGTAATTCATGCAATTTGTAATGACATTTTGCTAACCAGCATTACGATTGGACCAAATCAATAATCTGCCCTTACACGCGACGGGATCAACCCATGCCAGCAAGGTGCTTTTCTATATAACCAACGACAGAATCAAACACTTTTTGTGCTGGCAAACTCGACCAGGTACAAGCTGGATTCGTCAAAGGAAAAATTCAGCTATCTTGGATCCATTTCTTGTTGGTAAAGGGATCCGGATCAGACAAGGCTACATTCTCTGTCCCAAACTGAATTCGAATTGCAAACCCTAGTCGGATCACAATTCAAGACATTGTCAAAATATATACAAAAAGCTGCATTTTCTGGTTATTTGATGTAATAAAAATGATAATCACCGCGTTATCAAAGATGAGCGATTCAGAAAACCAATGGGTTTTAGGTCGTAAAGCTTTACGACCTGTTGATATCCTCTTTGGGTCTTCAACTAAGGTTACCATTTAAGAATTTCAAAAGTACTGACAAAAATCCTGACATTTCTAAAAAAGTCCGGACATTTATTCACAAAATGATACCATTAGTCACATAGTTACAATGGTATGGTATTTAAATCAATCTGTACTTTTATGATTCATATTCAATGTAATTTAAAAAATCCGGACCGTTTAAGGATCCGGACAAAGTCCGAACTATAGTCTCTAAGTCCGGATATGTCTGGATGGTAACCCTATCTTCAACCCCTGTTTTTTTACTGTTTCACAGTGCTATATTTATTTATTTTTTTGCAAAGGTAATGTTACAGAATTTCACAAGGAAAACTGAACTGAACCGACAGACTTAAAAGACTGATTGTTTGTTATGTTTGGATCTAACGAATGCAACGCCATTTGCAGAGCTTTGCGATTGCTTCCCCACTAGAGTAAATAAATATTGGTTATAGGTGGAGTATAGAGTATTCCTAGTAATTTTCTAATGTGCTTTTTTCTGAAGTACAAATGAATGAGGCAGCTATCACATACACTAAACGATAAGTTGAATGTAGTAAAAGGATGTTTTGGGGCATACACGTCAGCCTCTATCATTTTCATTATCAGTCATAATGTTATACCTATACGTATTGTGTTATGACCTTGATAATCTTTCGCGGTTCGAAAATTAGGATAGCTTGGTTAGCAACAAAAAAAGTGCGTCCTCGGCGTTGTCAGTGAACTGAAGTTTCAGCTTGGAAAGAATAGCATGTCTCCTAAGACATGCCATATTGCCATAGCAACCGGGGCCATATCTTTAACACCGGCTGCTGCACTTAAAGCTTTGTTTAATTTCCCCCCGCTTCATTTATTTATAATACAGAAGGCAGAAACAAGTGTATAAATTATCACCAGTAGCAATGACTTCAGATGTCATGCTTACGCTGGGTAATTTTACTGGTAACAAGGTAGCACTACCAAGCAGAGAAACGTGGTAAAATCCTGCAAGGCTGGCAGCCTAATCTGGTTCACGGCTCTACAAATAAACTCATTTTATTTCATAATGCAAATTCCGTGACACTGATATTTCCGGATACTTAACAAGGGGCGAGAAACACTTATGTAAATTTGTGCCGGAGTATTTATCTCGGACGTCATATCCGTTTCAGGAGGAAATCAAATCTCTAAAAGATCAAAATGTTTTGGCTATGTTTGAGCTTCTTAGAAACTAAAGGGTTTTAAATCTACTTTAACTTGACGAGTTATAATAGATTTATTTATTTATTTATTTATTAGAAACAAACGGTCATACATATAATTTTGAAAATATTGTCAGTTTATATATCACTACAGACCTACAGTTTCCTTAATTAGAAATCGCGCTAAAATAGATCTATATATAGATCTTTTAAGACACAGTGACTACAGTTCCATTAAAGAATGCATAGCTCACAAAATCTCAAATAATAATATGTATGGGTTTTTAATAACGTTTTATACAGTGATAAAAAACGGTCATGTGCGAGGCAAAATTATACACGAAATTTTCTGTACCATTATTTAAGATCGAGCAAAAACCGTTGAAAAAATATTACGTTTCCTGCATAAGATTATTTATTTATTTTAATTTTGCTAGTTTTCGTTTTAACAGCGGCGGCAGCAGAAATGCATATTCTGTAAAAATTTAAATTCTTATTATGAAGGTTCATAAGGACCCCTCCTTATTACCACTTAACATCAAGGGGGGTTTAAGAATATGAGTTTAATTTTTTTCGGAAATGGGATAGAGGAAGCTAAGTTAGCGGAGCCGGTACAGAACTCTAAAAATAAATAATGATTACATCACCATTTTGAAAAAAATTGGCTGGTTATGCTCGTTACGGTACATCAAACGGATCTTTTCGTTGTTGAGACCTTCAACTCGAATCAAAAAGTTAAATGTCAAGAAAATTGTATCTCATCACATCACCATTACCAAGGTCGTCCACATATTAGTATATGGAAAAAACTAATGTTAATGGAAACCACAAACAACTTAATAATAGGTACACATACAGCTATTATTTTTCACTTCCTCAAACAAAATTAATTAATGTATCTTGCTTGACGGACTTTCAAACTTACTAACGGCCAGCAATACCTAATCAAACTCGTAGAGTTAGGAGGCCACATCTACTACTAGAGCTCTCTTGCCAAGATATTTTTTTTTATTAAGATTACCTATATGTTAAAAACTGTTGCTATGAACAGATTATCTTTACCATTATCTGGATGGAGGTTGATTAGTGAAAATGGCCGTAAAAAAGGAGCATTAGATAATTACTACTAAAAATAAATTTCATTTCATTTCGGTGACTAGTTTATATCACGACAGGTAAAACAGGCCATGTACGAGTTGTACTCGCAAACGGAATGTTTCATTTCGGTACCCAAGCACAATATTAAAAATTAGGTCGACCAAGAAAAAGTAAAAAAAAACAGTTAATAATAATAAAATTAAGAATTTTATTTTTATTATTTTATAAAATGTCATGATCATTGACAATATGTATAGTAATAAGCGCACAACACAGAAAGAGGTCTTTCTATGTTCTGTGGTAATAAGATTGCTACCATAATCGTGTTTTTGCAAGTTCCCGATATTACTTATTACCAGTTACTCCGTGATCATATGGCACACAAGAGCGCCGAGTGCCGAAATATATCTGGATCATGTTGTGTGAAGGTGGGATTGATCGAAGCAGATCAGCATCATCACGGCGATAGGGATACTGTGGGGAAATTTCAGGTGTCCATCGAATTTCGTTCAAGAGAGGGGTCGATTCTGCGCAGTTATCGCAATATGTGTCTCAGTGAAGTAGTCGTATATTAACAGAACACAAAAAGGTGTCCTGTGCGTACAATTGTATGTAACACATTTCGGACACAATTCTTGGTACTACTTAAATAACATAGTAAAAATACATTTGGGAATAATAAATGAGTAAGCAAGTTTTTTTATTTAAATCGTGTTTTATTAATACTGTGTCAAAAATCTGAACAACTGAAACAACATTATGATAAACGATTATTACTGTGTCAGATCAGACAGAAGATAGACAGCGTTAGGCAGGTTCATTGAGTTTCTTTTGTCACCATTTGGGTATGGTATGGAACCTAAATAAACTAGGTTCTAATGGTTTATGGTGAAAAAGCACTAATATGTTTTATGATTTACAGGGATTATCAGCAACATTACTATACTACAATAGGAAATATGGAATGAGAGCATCAGGGGTGCTGTTTTTCTTTTGGTTACTTTTGATATTGGCAGGATTACCGGAGCTCAGATCTGAAATAGTGGAGCATTATGAGAAAGCAGATGATGAGAATGTCCAATACAATTTCGTTAGCTATATGGTTTATTACCCGCTGATTATATTTATGTTCATATTGAATTGGTTTGCCGATTTGCCTCCAAAAGACACTCCATATACATTCGAGAAGGTAATTATATAATTGTTATTATTTTCAAGATAAAGATAAAGATTCAAGATAAAGGTTAATTTAAACTATCACAGATAAAACGTTGCGTGACACCTATATTGAAAACCAATCATAATTTCTTTCTTTCTCTGCTTTATCCCCCTTAATATAAACAAGGAATAAGCTTGAATTAGTTACGCCGTGTTATGTTCATGTCACTCAAATGCCATTAGTCATTCAATGAACAGTGACAGAACATGGAGTAACTAATCTAAGCTTATTCTTCGTTTATTAATAAGAGGGTACCTCTGTGTTTAGTTGACATAACTGCTTGAAATTTTGTAAGTCATTGTTGAATTTGTACCTGGGTTGGTAGGGTTTTGCTTGGCTTCCTCGTTGTTTCTACACAAATGAATTCTTAGAAAGCCCATTGCAACATGAATCTATTGTGCGTGTCTCGTTTTGATTACATAACCACTCGTTTTAGGAACTTATCTGAACTCGGACGATTACAGTCGAATATTAAATATTTAGTTTCTCGAAGTTTATACGAAGTGGGTAGGTATGCTAATTTAGACTTTTTAATGTTTAGTCATTTAGTGTCTCCGAACTTATTAAGAAAATTAATTAAGTAGTTTTATCGCCTGCCATTTGCAATCGATTTCTTTAGCTTACTTTCACGATTTTTCTAACTAGTTTTTAAATACAAAAGTACCACAATAAGCATCACCCTAAATACCATAAAAAAGTTACTCATTCAATACGAGTTTAAGAAGAAAAACTTATACTAAATTTGACCAAACATGGTTTAAACCAATGTCTACATATTTTTTGCAGTGCCACCATAGATCCCTTACATGTTTAATCGTCCACTTGTTTGTTTGTTACCTACTACGTGACGCAATCTTGCGCCGAAATTGCTACTTACAATTTTTGACAAGCTTCATCATTATCATTCATTACGCGGAAGCTTTGATCAATAGCATAATATCGGTATTTTATTCTGTAGAACCAATGCCCAGAGAATGCGTCAGGATTCCCTAGCCGGCTCACGTTCAGTTGGTTTGACCCTCTCGCGTTGACGGGCTTCCGACGAAACTTGACCGAGAATGACCTTTGGGCGCTAAACCCTCAAGACTCGTCGAGGGAAGTAGTACCTAGATTCGACAAATTTTGGGAAAGATCACTCAAAAAACGAGAAAAGTGAGTAGATTCAAGTTTTGCTGGACTCAAAGTCAATTTAAATTTATTTCTGTGTGTTAAAACGTATTGCATTTTAGACCAGTGTCTAGTACTATCGAAATCTGCTTTGTCATCGTGATGGAACAGCATCTATTAACTCATTGTACCTTGAGGGCATAAAAAATAATAACTGTTTATACGAATGCTTTGCCGAAGGTGTGTAACCTTGTAGAATTCTATATGATCACTAAATTTACAACTCAAAACAGATAAGGATATTCTTTTTGTCGTAACTAATTAATTTACTCAACCGCAATTGAAGGTAAAACTGCATACTCCATTTCGAGTACCTACCATGCAAGTTTTATAGAGAATCTTCCGCATTTTACATTAATAATAAATTAAATACCTAATCACCGTTTTTGGTATAATTAAATAATAATTGTGTTGTACATATGTTATACCTATAGGAATGTGTCATTACTCATAATAATAAGTGGCTACCTATTTTAAACTGTTACGTATGATGTATTATGACAGTGATATACACTCGGTGGCACATCTAACCGGCCACCCAGTTATTTTCATAAAAACATGTTCTATTTGCCCTTCTATACATAAAAGTATCAATATATTTTGGCAGCGATCTGTATGCTTATGTTTAGATTAGGCGTTCGACGGCCCTAATCACATTTTGAATGAGTACTGAAACCATTGCATTTGTCCATAGAGGCGGAACAATTAATGCCTCATCACATTCCATACAATGTGATATGGCAATAAAGTAATGCTTTGCTTAATCAAAGGTTTGGAAACGGGAAGAGATGTTTAAAACTGTTCAAAGAGCTAAGTGGATAGTCAAACACTTACTACAAACATTAGCATACAGAGTTTTGCTGAAATATATTGACATTTTAATGTATATAATCGCAAAGTGAAAATTAAATAACGGTGTGGCCGGTTTGATGTGCCCCTAAGTGTATATCAGTTCAAACATATCCATGCAAAGAAACAAACACTCATCAGTATGATCTTATTTCTGCAACAAGTTATGTAATATAGTAATCTTAACGAGATTGGCAGAAGATGATATTGGTTGTGACAAATTAATATCTAGTTCCAGTGGTGCTAAAGCGACTTACAGTAAGAATTCAGCCAGCGTTAACTTCAAGCCGGAAAAAGAAAAGAAGCCTGCCTCGATATTGCCGGCGCTATGTATGGCATTTGGAGGGCAATTTTTGTTCGGTGCTCTCCTGAAATTGTTTAACGACACCCTAATGTTTCTTTCGCCACAACTCCTGAAGTAAGTACTATCATAAATATGTTTACAATAGGGGTGTTGACGGGGTACTGTAAACGAAATTCTAATTAGTCCGTCAGTTAGATGATCAAAAAATAATGGACACGTATATTTTCTTTGGGCAATCAACCAAAAAAAGACAAAGTTACAGCGCGTCAAACTTTGGGAGTAGGGGCTCGTGACGTCACTTTTTAGTGAATTTTCACTTAAAAGTGTACCAAAACGACGTCATGCGACTTTTCAAATCAATATATCTCTGCAATGTTTATATTAAGTGAAAAAAGAAAAAATACGTGTCCAATACTTTTTGATAAAATACCTGATAAACAAAGAAAAAAAAATAGTCATCATCCCTATTACCGAAATTATCGAAAGGCATTAAAATTCCTATCATTTCACAACTTACAAACTATGTATATAAATATAATTTGTCTCAAATTTTAAAAAAAAGATCATTTTGCTAAGAACAAGCAATTATTTTAAATCATTATAATATAATGGTTGGTCATGTATAGCTTTTTAATTTTGTTCCCAGACTTCTTATAAATTTCGTCCAAAGCAAAGAGCCGCTATGGAAAGGACACTTGTACGCAGTAGCTTTGTTGGCTTGCGCGACTGTTCAAACCATGCTGTTGGCACATTACTTCACCAGAATGTACCTAGTGGGTATGAGGATAAGGACTGCTCTCACAAGTGCTATCTACAGGAAGTCGCTCCGTATGTCAAATGCGGCCAGAAAAGAATCCACTGTGGGTGAAATCGTTAATTTAATGTCAGTGGATGCTCAAAGGTAAGATGTTTGAAATTATTATTCCTATGTACGTGAAAATGTATTTAATTTGTGTCATCGAGTTCTTCGCCATGCCAACTTCTTGTAATTTCATAACATTATGAATTTAATACTCATAAGTTTCAAAATGTACAATAATCAAATAAAGTATAAAATTAAAATAAACGCTCTTTGTGTTATGTAGTACTTTATCAAATATTTATCATTACTTCAACTGTACCAGTTGTAGATCGATTTATTATAAAACGATCTGAAAAGCGCAGTGATTATACTATGTAGTAGATCACTTATTAGAGAGTTACGAACTGGTCATTTAGAATACCAATGAACACCAATTACCCCTGCTACATGCATACCCTTTTCGTTTGTTATCAAATGATTAATTAAACAGTTGATTCCTCCTGTACTTTATGTTGTGAAACTGTTATAACGAATATCATTCGTTTTATTAATAAAAAAAATGTTTGCTCAAATACGGAATCAATAACCTGTTGTGTGGCCTTGTACGACCTTTTATCGTAGGTATATCGTATCTTTGTGATATTATTACTGTTTTATTATACATAATTATAACATCATCACTTTAATCAGCTTACATTGTTATAGCGACAGATTTTGATATCTGAATCATTTCCGAATTTATGAAAATAGCAGTGGTATTTCTTTATTATTATTAATTGTATAATAGATATGAAGTGATCAGGTGTTCATTAAATAATAACCTTCAACTACCTGCTTACCTCATTCGGGACACGGCGTGAATCTTCACACCGTGCCCCGAGTGGGGTAATAGTCCAGTCAACAAGTTCAAAAACGTGAAAAATAGAGATAAAGCTCCTAAAAATATGAGCAATAGCTCATTGGATTCGGAACGACCTCTAGAAAAATGAGTTTTGAGGATTTTACTGCACGTAAAAAATTGCAATTGTTATTAACAAAATAAGATGAAAAAAAAGACGTATTTACGTTTTTGTTAATAACTCATAAACTATTAATATTTACGATATTTGGAAAAAAGGTCCTTAAAGAGGAGGAAATTTCCGAAAAAAAATGTCCCAGCTCCCGGAACTCTACCACTATTATTTATAATTTTAATTTAACGCTGAAAATAGGGCTCCGCGCAGCCATTACGGCATGGGCGCACTGCCGTTAAAGACAGTTTCTTACATAAAATTATTTTTTATAGTAACAAATATGAATTTAAAAATTTAAATAAATTATGGTGTCATCCAGATACTTGAAAGAATATATTACCGTTGGAAAAAAAAATTTAAATTAATTTTTCAAAAAGTTATGCAATTGTTAATTAACGATTTTTTTTCCTATCTCCGTTTTCATAAATGACGACATAAAAATTTAAATAATAAACCTATAAATTTTTGGCTCTGTGGAGCTCTTCTTATATATATACTTAACAAGGTCCCGCGATAAAAGTTTATTAAAGTTAATTATTTTGTTTATAACAATTTTTTAAAGTTAACAAAAAATGAAAAGTCTAAGAAATATTATTAAATTTTTTTTTTTAAACAAATGTTATATTATTGCTGCTTTCTTATCCAACAATGGCATTAAGTAACATCGGAAAAATTTTTTTTACATCATTTGTTAAGAAATTGTTTATAAACAAATAGACAAGTTTAATATTTAAAGAATTTTTTTTTACCATTATTTTGTCTTGGCAAAATAATGATTTTTTAAAAAAAAAAATTTTCTTAAATAATTTTTTTTATTGTTTATAATCGTTTTTTTTTTATATTTCGATTGTTTAAATAATTAGTTAAGGAATGATTTTCTCTTTAAAAATCATAATTGGCATTTCTTCATAGGTAAATAGAAAAAAATTTTTTTTATCAATAATTTCATTGTTTGTTAACTTAACAATTTGTTATAAACAAATTCTAACTACCGTTATATTTTTTTTCTAGAGCTAAAAAAAATAACAAAAACAGCCATATATATCAAAATACTAAAAAAAATTTTTTTTTTTTTATAACGCTTTTAAATATTACACGATACCAAAGTTGCACCGGACACTTGATTTGTCAAGTAAAAAATTGATATAACTTATAAACTATTCAAGATACGATAATGGACATTCAGGTCGTTTTTATAAAGCATTAATTAATCTTCAAAATAAGCTAAAAACCAAGTTTGTAACTATTGTTTATCAGCTAATATATGCATTTGTTTATAAAATTTTGAGATTTCTTTAACTTTTTCGTATCTCTTATGACTTACAACTTAATAAATATTTAAAATACAGCTATAAACCTTAAAACAATTTTGTTTAGCGATACATTATCTCCCAAATTATCAATTAATCGTACCTCCATCTCTAATGTGACAGAAAAGGTGTCAACTAGTTCAGTTCAAAACTTCGATAGCCCAAGCTGTTCTGCAATCCCTCCCTTAAAGAAAAGAAGGAAACGAACTATTTGAATTTGTATTATTGCATTGTATTATTTCCTCAAATATATTTAGAATTATTATTATAAAACAGTGACTTTTATTTTATAAATCCATTTTATCCTAATATTATTTCTAATAATTTTTTCATACCAATAAATGTAATTCTATTTAATTATAATAAAATATATAAAAATATGGTTAACATGTAAAAATTTAGAAGATACGGCAGATCAAACTACAAAAAATATGAAAAAAAATACTTAATGACATCGAAGAAACTATTTATTTAAATAAATGATAAAATCAGTTTCACTTAGAAGCTATAATAACTTATAATAATGTAGAGAAAATTAAAAAATTACAAAATGAAGGTAAGTGTTAGATAAATATTAAATAAATATTAATTAAATCACGTATATTGTTTAAACAATTAGAGATGGAGGTACGATTAATTGATAATTTGGGAGATAATGTATCGCTAAACAAAATTGTTTTAAGGTTTATAGCTGTATTTTAATTATTTATTAAGTTGTAAGTCATAAGAGATACGAAAAAGTTAAAGAAATCTCAAAATTTTATAAACAAATGCGTGTATTAGCTGATAAACAATAGTTACAAACTTGGTTTTTAGCTTATTTTGAAGATTAATTAATGCTTTATAAAAACGACCTGAATGTCCATTATCGTATCTCGAATAGTTTATAAGTTATATTAATTTTTTACTTGACAAATCAAGTGTCCGGTGCAACTTTGGTATCGTGTAATATTTAAAAGCGTTATAAAAAATAGAAAAAAAATTTTTTTAGTATTTTGATATATATGGCTGTTTTTGTTATTTTTTTAGCTCTAGAAAAAAAATATAACGGTAGTAAGAATTTGTTTATAACAAATTGTTAAGTTAACAAACAATGAAATTATTGATAAAAAAATTTTTTTTTTCCTATTTACCTATAAAGAAATGCCAATTATGATTTTTAAAGAGAAAATCATTCATTTACTAATTATTTAAACAATCGAAATATAAAAAAAACGATTATAAACCATAAAAAAATTTATTTAAGAATTTTTTTTTTTTAAAATCATTATTTTGCCAAGACAACATAATGGTAAAAAAAAATTTCTTTAAATATTAAACTTGTCTATTTGTTTATAAACAATTTCTTAACAAATGATGTTAAAAATTTTTTTTCCGATGTTACTTAATGCCATTGTTGGATAAGAAAGCAGCAATAATATAACATTTGTTTAAAAAAAATTTTTTAATAATATTTCTTAGACTTTTCATTTTTTGTTAACTTTAAAAAATTGTTATAAACAAAATAATTAACTTTAATAAACTTTTATCGCGGGACCTTGTTAAGTATATATATAAGAAGAGCTCCACAGAGCCAAAAATTTATAGGTTTATTATTTAAATTTTTATGTCGTCATTTATGAAAACGGAGATAGGAAAAAAAATCGTTAATTAACAATTGCATAACTTTTTGAAAAATTAATTTAAATTTTTTTTTCCAACGGTAATATATTCTTTCAAGTATCTGGATGACACCATAATTTATTTAAATTTTTAAATTCATATTTGTTACTATAAAAAATAATTTTATGTAAGAAACTGTCTTTAACGGCAGTGCGCCCATGCCGTAATGGCTGCGCGGAGCCCTATTTTCAGCGTTAAATTAAAATTATAAATAATAGTGGTAGAGTTCCGGGAGCTGGGACATTTTTTTCGGAAATTTCCTCCTCTTTAAGGACCTTTTTTCCAAATATCGTAAATATTAATAGTTTATGAGTTATTAACAAAAACGTAAATACGTCTTTTTTTTCATCTTATTTTGTTAATAACAATTGCAATTTTTTACGTGCAGTAAAATCCTCAAAACTCATTTTTCTAGAGGTCGTTCCGAATCCAATGAGCTATTGCTCATATTTTTAGGAGCTTTATCTCTATTTTTCACGTTTTTGAACTTGTTGACTGGACTATAAGGAGGTATATTAAATAATAGGATACAAATACAAATTACAGACAGGATGGATATTAAATAATAAGGTTATTATTTTAAATTTTTCTATTTATTTTTTGTGAAATCTCGCGGTTTCACATTTAGACAATCAATTTTATGCTTGTTTAAGCTGTATTAGATTTTCTCCATAAACTTCTTTTTGCAGTTAGCCATTAAGTCTGGATAGTTTTAGTTTAGCTAAAAAGGTGTTTGTATCAAATATAGTTTATCTATAATTTACCCGGTGAGTCCCTATTTCTGAGCTTTATATTTTTCTCAGATTTCTGGAATTGACAGCATATTTGAACATGATATGGTCGGCACCTCTCCAAATCGCGTTGGCCCTTTATTTCCTGTGGGGTATTCTAGGGCCGTCAGTGCTTGCCGGCCTGGCTGTCATGATAATACTCATTCCTGTCAATGGCCTCATCGCTAACAGAGTAAAGACGCTACAGATCAAACAGATGAAGTATAAAGACGAAAGAGTTAAACTTATGAATGAAGTACTTAACGGCATTAAGGTAAGATCAACACACACACACACACACACACATACACACACACAAAAGAACACTATTTCTATGTTATACATTACACCCGTGCAAAGCAGGCGCGATCACTATTATTATAATTATACGAAGTCGATATGCGAGCAAAGCAAAAAAATATGGAGCAGATATGAGAAAGAGAATCAGTTTGAAAGACAGTACTTACATTAATTCCCGCCATATATCCATATGGGGTTGGTATTAGGGTTGTCAGAAGCTGACTTATTCCGGGACATTTGCTCCCCCCCCCCTTTTATTTTTTCAGGGGAGGCCTGATAAAGAAGAAAAATAAAGCATCATATCACCCGGAATCCGTAACAAAAAGGTCTTATTATTAGACACGGGACAACACGCAAAATTCCGAGACAATCCCGGAAATCCCGGCCATCTGGCAACTCTTTTTGGTATAGGATCAAGGGTGCAATAGTTTTTGTAAAACCCATTAATGATAGTGTTGATGTAAAAATTACCAGAGGATTGCTTTATTGGAATAGTTTAGTAAAAAGAAATGTTGAACGAGAGAATTCTTTTATTTATTTGCATTTGGGAAACATACAGGTGTTAGGTTTTATTGCTGAATATATTTATCAACCGTTAAATTAAACTAATAAAAAGTTAACACATATATTTGATAAATATTTTCAACCGTATCGAATCAAAATATTCATTCATTTCATGTTGATTTTAACGCGAGAGCAATATCATTTCGTATAGATGAATGTACCGGACTGAATAAGTTACCGTAATGAATAATTTCAATTACAGATCGAACTGATAAAAATATTGTCTAATCAACTTGTGAAAAATATTCAGATTGTATTTTTAAATAAATATATTGACTGATATTTTCAACCATTAAAATTATCTGATATTTTTATTCAACTATTAACATTTCTTTTTCAACGATAAACTAGTCTTGAACACAGAAGTTTGATTAAGCTCTAAAAAAAGCAATAATTTTTGAATCGTCTATTTTACCGATAGATATGTGGAAACAAAAAACAAAAAATATAAATTTTAAATCAATCACCATTAAGTCGCACACGCAAGCCTATATGAACTAAAAATCCTATGTATGAGGTACACCAGGAAATGAACTTCGTGCACAAATACATTGCATTGGCCTGAATCAAAAACTCATTCAGTATATTCTATAAAATTGCACTGTCCCGTCTACTGCACTACATTTACACAAGATTACTCTATTGTGTACTCTGACAATATCCTCTATTGTGCTATCTATACAACACATAATATAATCAATGAAGTTTATTGCAACATTGAAGGATTTAAAGTAGAACTTACGAAAAAAAAAACAGGCATTTGAATCGCAGAACTAAACTGAAAATAAACTGCAATTGGGGTTAATATTTAATACCCTATATTGATAATTAATTATATGATTTTTCTGTGTTATTGATATATCAAAGATTAATATTTACCTAAATATTATAATTTTTATCTTTGACAACTTCCGAAATACTGTAATAATATTGTTTATCATTCATATCTGTTTAATTCCCTAAATCGATACTGGTTTAATCCTACTGAAATCAACACAAATGTTTGTGTGTTTTTATTTAACTTATCTGGTTCAAACGTTATATTATGTATTTATTTTTTGAGCGGATTAAGGGCTTGAAAAGGCAATTCCTTTATTACTTTATTGAATGAAGGTAATCGACAGATTTGATTCATACACAATTGACATGCTTATCAGTAATTTCTTTCAGGTTCTTAAAATGTATGCGTGGGAGCCTAGCTTTGAGGATCAAGTTTTAAAGATAAGAAATAAAGAAATGCATGTATTAAAGCAAACAGCATATCTCAATTCAGCTACTTCATTCATTTGGTCTTGTGCGCCTTTTCTGGTATGTATTACACATTTAAATAATATTTTTATTTCTTTTATTAAATGCTCAATCGTTTTATAGTTTGTTTTCAACAAACAGTTTTAAAATCAATGTTTATCTGGTCGTATGAGATGACCTATTTAGATACAAATGAATAGTCGTTATCAGCGTGTAGGTAGACTTGAATTTTAGTTCAAATCATTCCTAGTTCTATATTATATTTTCTAACTTAAGTAATGGAAGGTGACTTCAGAATGATCTCTGAAGTATTTTTTTTAACTTAACGACTCTGTATATAATAATACAGGGAGAAAAAAACTTTGCTGAGTTTCTTGCCGGTTTTTCTCAGTACAAGGTCTCCCGCCGTAGTTTTGCGAACCGATGGCGTAGCTACTCGTTCTTCACAAGTGCTTGTAACAGGCTAGACTGAATAAATGATTTTTGATTTTATGGAAATTTAAATGTTATATGAAATCAATGCTGACTTTTTGTAAAATGTTAAATACTCACCTCATTTACGCAACTAGCTGTTTAAACTAGAAAAAGTCAGGCAGAAATACTAGGATGACTTTTTATTAACAAAGTATCACAATTTAGTATAAGTATAATTTTTTGCAGTAGCTAGACGCAAAATTTTTACGAGGTGACCTAAAAAATGCTAATCAATTACAACAATAACAACTTAATATCTTTCAGGATCTACATAACTTACACATGTATTATCGTAATAAGTTATTTATCAACTTCAAACAAATTAATAAGAATGTTTATCACCGAATTATGACAATTTATTATTGATTGGTATTTAATACTTACCTCCTTATCTTTGATTTGATTTTTAGTGAAGATAAGCTGTTAATCTTCTGCTTACACAACATAAATAAAAGATCTTGATTAACAATAATTCATAGTAGGTATACATATACTTACTAAGCAGTCAAGACACATGTAAAATTACCAGCATGCAGATTCCTGAGGTCAAATGTTATGTTGATAAATATCTCTACTGTGTGCAAAATTTAATAGTACTATTATTTTGTATCTATGTCAACTCTCTACAAAATGTTTTGATGGCCTTGTCAAAATATCTAAAAACAATATGTGAATTCTAGTCCATCTACTTTGATGACTTTAAGAATATTTCCTTAAAATATCTGAAATATACTGAACTGCATAATCTTTGTCTTGTTCTTTTTTTAAGGTGACATTTCTAACGTTCTTCACGTTTGTGATATCTGACCCAGAAAAAAATATCCTGACTGCCACAAATATTTTCGTGTCGATGTCCTTGTTTTACACAATGCATTTGCCGTTAGGTTTGCTCCCTATCATCGTGGTCTCGGCGATAGAGGTAGCGCAACCAATGTGTTCATAACCTCTACTTCTCAGAGGCTATGGTTCTTTTGCACTCGTTCACACTAACAAGCATAAATTCATAACGTTATACGAGACGACAACCGAGCTGATTGAGTATTCGTTGTATCAACTTGATATACATTGTAGCTTAATCGTACTGTAAAACGTCCGTCCTGCTATTCAGACATGTTGGTATTTATTACGTTCATCTCCATTAGGTACTTTACCATCAAGGTGATCATTTGTTTCAATATTGAATTGGAAGGAACTGATATGTTCACAAAAGTAGTTTCAATAGTCGAGAAGCCGTGCAAACAGTGCCTGCTATCATTATGATAAGATTAACACAGAGTTTCTTCTTGTTCCCCTGAATTTACTGAGTAAATTCTCAGGACCTAACATAGTAATGATGATTAAAAAAAAATGTATTTAATATACATATTTTTATATTAATTTGTTTGACTATTCATATTTTTTAATAGGTTTAAACACATAATAGGCTATATAGGTAATCATTATGTATTTTATAAAAATGAAATTCTTGGTCTTGCCGTAACTTGAGAATGACTTTACTGATTTCGTCTTACTTATTTTCAAGTTGTCTTATACATTATATCTAGAATATCCTCGACAGAAAAAATGCTTAAGTTAAAGGGAACGAAGTCGCGGGCGAAAGTTAGTAATTTTGTTATCGTTTCATTGAATGCTTAAAATACATAACAAATCTAGAAATAAACTAGGACTCTGTTACGAGTTAACTGTTCATTTAGATCACGTACATTGTCTAGCTTTCTATCGTATACTTATGTGTAACGTCAGAAACCAGATGAATGTTATCAGATGATAGACGGATACTCAACACTCAGTAACGCATGAAACCATTAATTATAACTAATGTTAAGCTGGACTCGTCTCTTAGGTGTCCCTGATGTCGTTCGGATGCTTTGTATTGGTAAACGATACAAAAGTGTTGGATTCTAAGACGGCTTTCGTAGCATTGTCTCTTTTCAACATTCTACGTTTTCCACTATCCATGCTGCCTAATGTTATATCAAATGTAGTACAAGTAAGTTGGAATTATAAGATTATATTGTGTATTTCAATGTGTTTGTGTTGTCCTCCCAGCTTCTCGAAAAAAAGCTTATTATGTGAATGCTGATTATTATATCATTAATTACTGCGCAACAAGTATAAGTTTGCGTTTCTTAAAAATTAAAAGAGGATACCTTTGCCGCTTTTAAAGCAACATAAAAGTGATTCAGAGTTCATTCGCACTTTATCATAGCGACGTTGCCGTCACTATGCCAATTTATACTTGTTGCACCATTTTATGTCATACACCATTCAAATCGTTTCATTCATTTAAATTTTCTGTACATTGTGACTAATATTGAGCTGTGAACTAACGCTTCGGTGACGTTAATCTAACATAAACAAAGTTGCCACTTTATTACAATACTTTCTGCCACGTACAATCGAAGAAATGTTCCCTAGTGCCTTATGTAGTAAGATAATAAAGATAGAAAATGAAATTTTACGCGATAAGTATAGTTTTAGGTATTTAAAATTTTGAATCTGTCGATCATTATAACAAACAGCATTCACCACAGTTTCAATTATCAATCTCCAGTTAAAGTTTGTTCTGGTTACGGTTCTTAGCAACAATTGTTAACAAAACTATCAAGGCGACTAAGCTGTAAAAGGCTATCGTTGCTATCCTTACCTGATCATAGGTTATTGAAGCAGGCTATTAGTCAGTGTGTGTTTTTTTCTAAGCATTCTTTTGTATTGTGTCAAAGTAACTAAAGCTAAATTTATGAATGAATAAGAGATCGGTTTATCTTTGGATAAGTCGGAGGTTTTGTGTTAGCACAATGGCATTTTTAACTTGCATATCTATGCACTTTATATTATATTACTTATCTAAGTGCGTAAAAATTAAACGCAATTGCAATTTATTCTTCGGTTGTACAGGCAGAAGCATGTCAAGTAAATATTTGTTTCCTAATCGTATATAAATATTTCAGACTTCAGTTGGTATTAAGAGATTAAACAAATTTATGAATTGTGAAGAATTGGATGAACATGCAGTAGATCACGACACGAAAGAGCGTAAGTTATATTGTTATGTTACTAGACCTTATAAATATAAAGTTGCTTCTTTTATTGGGGCGATTGAGAAAGCTACAAAAGAACATAATGATATTTTTTTTCATAGTATTTTACTACATAATGTATACTTTTGATATTATACCTAACTGTAATTATTATAACTTCTATGACTACATGAGAAAAATAAGATAAGATAATAACCCTTTATTGCACAACAATATCATAAAAATCACGAACAGAATACAAAAACAAGACAAAACAATATTAATGGTATTTAAATTGGAAATATATATAAACTCTTTTTAAAATAACAGGTAGATTATTCGCTCATAAAGATATTAAAAAACCTAGATACATCCTCACGAACAAAATCAAGTCTAAAAGTAAGTACATAATCTTTAAGCCATAAACAACATAAGACCATTTTAAGTCACCATTAACACTTAGGGTATATAAGGTGGTAAATAAGGTCTTAATTTATACGCATTATGTTAAGGAGTTATGCCTTTTTCAAATATAAACTCATAAAATTTTACTGATGTTTTTTATCGGCGTTAAGACTACATTTAATTCTATAACTTTAGGTCTTAACTGTAATTTTGACTGAACTGAAGGTAATAATATTGTGTCCGGAATAAAGATATATGTAGAGTCGTCAAGTTATCATAAATAAAGTTTGGTCCACAAAAGCTTAATATTGCGAGAATTATTCACAAAATTTATTACAAGGTATTAAGGCTTTATAAAAATACTAGCTGTCCAGCATACTTCGTATCGACATAAAAAAATAGGGGTTGGTGGTAGAAGGGTGTAATTTAGGGTTGTATGTATTTTTGTATAGATGTATCATAAAAAAATAGAAACAAAAATTTGTCTAAAAAAAAGGTTGGACCACCCTTAACATTTAGGGGGATGAAAAATAGATGTAGTCCGATTCTCAGACCTACTGAATATGCATATAAAATTTCGCGAAAATCGGTCGAACCGTTTCGGAGTAGTTCAATTACGTACACGGTGACACGAGAATTTTATATATTAGATTTACGACATCACGGTATCTAAAATAGCGAGTGAATTTCAATATAATCCATAATACGTTTAATTTTTAAAAATTTGAAATGACTGTCATTTTATGCTTCATAATTTATTCTAAAAGAAAAAAATAAATTAATTAATCTAATTTGTCGGTTTCATACAAATGTCGCTACCCAATGGACGCATCAACTTTATGGCAAGTATTAAAGTTTAACATCTCACAATAGGCATGTGCGTTGGATATACGAACGAACTGTTTAAGGTGCTTAAATCCATATTATAGACAAACCAGTTTACAGTCTACGAAGGAACCAGTTCGCTAATAATAATAAAGAATGCAAAACACTCATCCAACTTGCAAATAATTAACACTTATGGTTTCGGTTAGATGTCTATTTCTGGTTATTTTCTGTGTGCTAGTTGTCTCCACATGCATGATGCACCAGACAATGTTTTATCAAAAGTAACTCTATTTCAATGCAGATACCTACATATGCATCTCTAATAATTTTAGGTATTAAAAATAAAATTTCTAGTATGTCTGTATTTTAAGAAACTGTAGATGATAGATACTGTATTTTAACCCAGCGTGTTCTCCTACTTTTAATTTCGGACGCCATTCTTTGATGAATTTGAAATTTTTTGTATGGGAAAAGTCGAAAATCAACTTCATGAATATGCCTAATGCGTTGTTTTAGTGGACAAAATCTGTCTTCGCATTATTGCCATTCAAAATAAACAGGATTGAAGCACATCGGTTGGACGGTATGAAAGTTTATAACGGACACAGGTAGAAACAGTTTTGTGTTTTTATAAATTAAGATTAACTATAACAGCTTTAAAAAATAGCAGTGCACCAACCACTGATGTCCTCCTCATGGTACCATTAAAAAATCGATTACATAAAAGACTAGTCTTATCTAAACAAGCTGTTTAATTTGGTTGTCGTTTACCGTTAAATTAACTACGACTACTAGTTCCTGTAGACGCAGTTGCATTTCAACGACGTGGTTCATTTCAGTAGTTTTGTCAACGACATAATGTTTTCTCGACTAGTTTATCGTCAACATTAAACAGTCTCCGTTTAGTTTACTGAGAATGGTCGTCGATTCACCATTATATTTTCGCGGTATTATTATGTAGCCATAACCACCCACCACACATAAAATTAAATGTACGAAAAGAGACTAAAATGAATTAAGATATTATTATTATAAAAAAAACCTGCATTTATGACGTCATAGTCACTCCAGTCATTCGATGTAGACTATGTTTCCATTCTATAAAGAACGTGCACAACGAAGGTGCTGCTGGCTGGCGTCGCCAATCCGAATCTTGTACTCTATTAATAGATGACATTGACATTTAAAACAAGTAAACAGAATTAATTTTATTAGTGAAAATTATTATTCTAGCTAATCATAATGCATTGTTGCATTTGTGGATACATCCACAAAAATCATGAATATAATCAAAAATACCAAGTTACTTTTTACATTAATGAAGCTAAAGACAGGATTACGTTTCTCGGTATTATAGTAGAGTATGATAGTACAAATTCATAGAACAACCATGAGAAAAATATTTGAAAACGACTTGTTACACACTGCATTGAAAAAGTTCATTATATGGCCCTCAAAATCAACCGTTTATGCAACCATGACAAAACCATTGAAATTTCACTATGCGAACACACGTGTTTTAATAGACTACTGAACTTCACACCGAATATCCCTCAACATTTGAACAAATAGTCCACGTGTAGTCAGATTATAAACATTGGATATTTTAGTTTGTGCGACAGTTTTGCCAGTTATCACAGCCTCATTTTCTTCATTTATTATCTCTTCAACAGCTAATAACTGGCCGGCATCGAAGAGCTTTTGACCCCTTGGCATATTTTGGCCACGCTGACGATCATTATTGATAGACCGGAACCCATATTTTATAACTTTTATCATATTCAAAAATAATATAATTGAAGAGATAATTTTGTTTACATAATTGAAAGCACGATGACAGGTCTGATAAGTTTCCATTACTGTCAGCATAGTGTCTCCATTGTCGATTTAGTGCTGCCACCTATAGGAGATGCTATAGAACTATAGTTCTTGCACGTTCCCTAGGTACCTACACTTTTATCACTTGGTAACAACGGAGCGCGAGGGAAAGAGACGGCTGCGCAAATGACCACGCATTGGATTATTACAAATATTTTCTAGTAAATCTATGCATATCAAGTTTTAGGATTGAAATTTGTATCGTTAACTTATTGAGTTAATAAACATTGATTTAATAGCTGGTGAAAAACATTATCCTAGCCTTACTATTAAAGTTGGTTGTTGGTTCGTTACTATTGGTTATCTGGAAGAAATGGCTACATAGCCATAAGACCGCCAATTGTCCACCTTTTTAAATTATTGTCCTTTGTAATGTGGTGTATTAAATAAAGAATTATCTATCTATCTAAAGTACCTTTTTTCATATTCGGCATAATTATTTGTTAACGGTTCGCTCGCGAATGTGTTTTAAGTGAACAAAATAGTGCTTACTGGGTGCTTAAGCACTTTATTACAAGGAACTTATTTTAAGCGCTGGTAGTGCATCTAGGGTTTTCAACATCGTTGCTTGCACATAGTGTACAATAAAGTTGTTTTATTCTTAAAAAAACTTTCAGCCATTTAGGACTTATAAATAATCCTTTCATTGCCGGATATATTACGCTAAAAAATTTTAATTATACGCAGATGAAACATGAAATTCGTGTAAAAGCTATATATAAATTTAGTCTTTGAATTTTTGGTTTTGCATTTCATAACTGGTCCTATAATTATCAATATCAGATAGTCTCTGATAGCCAAATAAAATATAACAATACAAATACTTGATCCAATATTGAAATGCTATATCTGTGCGAAACTGTTATCAATTCCAGTTTTTTTTATTATCTGTCAAAAATCAATGAAGGCCAATTCAACTGATACAAATCCGATAAGCTATCTCGGGTAATCATTCTAGGTATATTCTTTTCAGATTAGCACGTCGTTGCCTTCATTCATATTTACACAATAATAGTTTCATATATACAGGTCCGACAAATGACTCCATCCCACCTGATGTTAAGTGAGGGTGAAGTCCAGACGTGAAGATGGCTGGTACAGCAGTTCTACCTGCCACACCAGCCATTCTCACCTTGCCGGCCTGCATGTTGCTTCTTCACGCCTCTTTTAAAGGATCCCAGGTTATAAAAAGAATGGAACACGTGAGCAGGCAGAGCATTCCATTTTCGGATAGTGCAACAAAAAAAATGAGTCACCAAATTTCTTTGTACGCGTTGACATTGTGGCCACAGTTAGACGATGACAACAAAGGTCCTCTGCAGGGAAGGGGAAAGTGGAATACTAGAGAATAACTCCTCAGAACACTCGCCGTGGTACAGATTTGCTAAAATATTCTGAAGCCTTGTACCTATTGGTCACTCGTGTTTGACCAGTCGCTTACATTGCAAGCGAATACAACTGGCCGGCAACCCTGCCGCGGCGATCTCCTATTTATTTAGCATAAATACATTCCTTGACAGTCAATTCCATATTACAGCTAACCCGCTTGTAATAGAAAATGGTCACTTCTCTTGGGGTGAGAAGGATTCAGAGCCGATGTTGAAGAACATCAACCTCCATGTGCCTCGTGGGTCCCTGGTAGCTGTGGTCGGCGCTGTGGGTTCGGGGAAGAGTTCCCTGCTCTCCGCTCTCTTAGGCGAGATGAACAAAGTTTCAGGCCGCATCAACACTACAGGTAAATATTTCATTAACAATTTACTCATTTATATACAGGTATAAGCTCAGAATAATCTACAAGAGTGTGGTAACTGTAAGCAGTGTAGCCGACGACTTGTAGAGGGTTATACTCTGAATGGAGAAACGTTCAATATTATCCTCCTAATTTATGACCAAGGGGTCTAAAATAGCGAGATGTTCCATATACCATATCTTAAATTGAAGAATTATTATTTTATGAAACATCACATAAATATTATATGAAATACCTGAACTATATAACTATATATATATAATAATTAGAAAATGGACCATATAAATTTTCAAGCCTGTGTTCTTTTGTTTTTCGTGAGTTTATTTTCGTTTATTTGCAATTTTTTGTTAATTTACTTACCATGGCGCATCAAAATAAAATAGATTTAATGTAAACTTACTTTATGAACCACAAAGACATATCATTAGCTTAGCGGTGGTACCGCAAAAGATATCTTGATAGAGACAAACCTTCTCGATATGTGTTTAAATAATGAAATAAAGATAGAGATAGAGCAAGATTTTTATAAGCCATGGTAAGTAAATTAACAAAAAATTGCAAATAAATGAAAATGAAAGTCACAAAAAAGAAAAGAACAGACACTTGAAAATTTATGTGTTTCATTTTCGAATTATTATTATTACAAAATTTTGCCAGTCGCATTATAACTGTGAGTTCAAAAAGAAAAGCATACGTACTACAGTTTGTAAATCACTTTATTATTTTTATCACGTAATGTTATTAAGCAAAAAATAATCGTTATGATTAACCCTTTCGATGGTTATCATAAAATATGCCGTGTTATTTTTTTCGAAATATCACGAGTTTGATTCGTGTAGTTGTAGCAGGCGATTTAAAAAAAAATCTGTGAATGCAGTTCTAGTTATTATTAAAAATAAAATGATGTCTTCTTTCAGTAAAATGTCCTATCTTCAATATGTAATATACTTTCCCTCCGTGTGAGGTAGCCGTGGGACGCCCTGTATAGTTTTATAGCTTTGTGGGGAATGCGTGAAACATACCTCTTCGATTAAAATAATGTAGATATGCCATTGGTACTTCTGAAAATTGGTTACATTTTTAAATTTCATTTCCCTGCCCCATTGCAAATAAAAGTTAAAAGTCGCAACGCTCGCGCGTGAATATGCGAACAATCTCACTTCCGCTATATCATTTCTTTTTCTCCTTACCGTATATTATAAATAAATTCAGAATTCATATACGAATTAAAATTTTGTATTTGTAGGTGAAATAGCTTATGTGCCACAACAAGCGTGGATTCAAAATGCAACACTACAAGATAACATATTGTTCGGAAAAGACCTCGATAAGCAGCGATACAACAACGTTATTAACGTATGCGCTTTGAAACCCGACTTCGACGTCTTACCTGGAGGTGACCAGACCGAGATTGGTGAAAAAGGTAAACTGCATTCATTTTACTAGCATTTTTTCAAAAACATAGCTCAGTTACAACAGTTCTTCCTCACACGAGATTTCTGCCGGACTGACAATGAAATTATTTTTGACATGAAAATGAATAACTAAATAAAAATATTTTAAAATTAGGGTTGGTCAAGATGTTCGAATATGGATTAAATAAACGAAGAGTATGGTTGCGCCTATGCCAATTTATAATCATGTTTTTTTTCTTTTTCAGTAATGTAAATAACCATAGTGGCAGAAGTAATTTTTTTATCTTTTATAATATAATTTCAATAATTATTTATTCTAGTCTGCCTGCCGATGAATTTTTTTTTATATGTTATAATAATTAGAAAAAAAAACTAAAACACAGCAGAAAAATCTTCTGCCACAATACAATGTATTTAGACCACTAAGACTATCGACAGAAGCGATAATATTGTTTATGACACTTATTTTTATTAACATTTTTCGCAAGCTCTTATTTGATATTGCAGCAATTCTTGAATGGCAGAATTATTTTAAAATGATTATTTGACTTAGTACTCTAATATCATCAATCTCTGTCAAACGATGAAATCATATAAAAATTGCTGCCACCAGCACCTTAGCTATCAACAGATTTTCCGATCAAATTGGAGTGCCCGTTTGGGAATGTATCAAATTGCAGTGAAATATTTACCTTTTTATTACCTAATTACCATTATCTTTTTATAGTGGTGTTGTATTTCTATAACCGATTAAGGTTTCCATTCCAGAGGTCCACGGAGCAAGGGGGTAGGTTAGGTTCAGTTCAAGCATCTATATAGTATAGTGGCCGTTTACCAACAGGTGGGACATAATAATTGTCTCTTTTTATCATTCTTAATTTTGCGATAATTTAACTGAGATTTTCGTCATATTGTTAATATGTAATCATTGACTCACTCTTTGACTTTCCCATGGGACAACTGGAAAAACCACATCTAGAGTATAACTACTTTCTGTTACAGAAATACAAATAAAGTAACAAAATGTTTATTACTTACTGTAAAAGATGCAAATTGATATTTTTATTTCATAAACGTTACATAGTTTTAGTATCTTAACTTCTTACTTATTCTGTCAGTCATCTCTCTTTACTTTACCTTATCATTATAATCATAAATAACCGTAGTTTGATAAATATTGCAGAAGTTATTATTAGTAGTTACAGAATACGGGTCTTATTTATTTATCTTTCTTTGATATACACATTATGAATTGTTGGTGGTTAAATGAAATTGTTTCTTTTTCCGTTAAACTTGTAATTGTTAATTTATACCAAGAAATATGAAAACATAGGTACTACTTACTACCTATGTTTATTTTTGATTATTTATTTAATGGAATAAAATCATTACAACAAGATGATAGGCACTCATTCACACTTTATAACATCATAATAATGAAACATCATGAAAAATGTGATTCCAGATCTATAAGTTTGTCAATTAAGACTCCATTAAATAAAAATACTACATATACTTAAATTGCCTTATTCGATATAGTTTCAAAGGTTCGTAGATAAATTAAAGAAGCCAGTTGGCCATTTCCGGTGTATTATCTTGCGTGGGAAGGCTAATCTAGCATAATAAGTATTCTGTTTTCCAATTAAGCAATTTAAAACCGTATTTATTTTTGTTTTTACTCTGAACACATTTTTGTGTTTTAACCCAAGGTGGGTGGGTCAGGAGAGAATGAAAAAAAAATTGTCTATAATTTTGTTTATATTGGGACTTTATTGAGTAAGCGAAAATAAACCCTTTAAATGAATTACGGATTTTTTGAAGCCTAGTAGCAGGTAAAATTAGTTTGTTTTTATTTCTTGTAACGAGTGTGAACATCACTGTTTTTAAGATATAAGTTGTTATTTTTTTCAAACAAATAATAAGTTTTTATATCTAATGTGATGCTACCATCATTATGCCAATTTACATAAACTTATCTCGTAAGTATTCCCTAACCCTAAGATTATAGATTGATCGAAAAGCTCTCATCTGCAGCATAAAAATAGTTTGAATGTCGGTGGGGTTTAATTTAAAATATAGTGATATGGCAACCGACATGAGCATATTGTACGTAAATTATAGGTAAATGATATAATTACCTACATTTATATAAGGCCAAAGGCTGTTTTCCGGTTGTTGAACATTCATCTGCGATTGAGTTTTAGACCCGTATTACAGAATGACAACTAAGTGTTGATCTTTACTTGAGTACAGTTAGAAATGGATATCACTATGTGCTATATATAGCGACATCTCTTTCTAACTATGCTCAAGACTAGATAAATCACTGAGAATCTTTCTATATTACGGGCCTTAGTGTTTGTCACCAATTGGATCGCTGAAGGTTCTTAGTGGATGATATCACTGGATACTGTCAGACTTATTCGCTCTTTATGTGCCCAAAGCAAATATGACTCTTGAGATTTTAGTCACCCGTTTTTTTTCCCAGTGTTCCTTTTATCATCATTCAATGCTATAATATTAATATGACGCGACATAAAAAAAACCAAGCGCGGATATTTCCAGTATTAACTAACTTACCCTTTAGTTAGCTTATATAACAAAAAGGAAGAAGTAAGAAATCAACTAGGTCCCAGCCACGGCGACACCAGGGCCGCTACGGCGCTGATATTCAGGCGGAAGAGTATTATTCTAAGAAAATTTTCTAGAAAAAAAGACCATAGATTAAACATCTAGCAGTTAAATGCTTAAAAATTAAAAAACATAGTATTATTGAAATTAAAATTTGACGATGGTGATTGTAATGTTATTTTTATACAGGTATAAATCTGTCTGGTGGTCAAAAACAGCGAGTGTCACTTGCTAGGGCGGTGTACTACGACGCTGATAACTATTTCTTGGACGACCCGCTCAGCGCAGTGGACTCGCATGTTGGAAAACATATATTCGATAAGGTAACCAGACCTTAACATAATTTGTAATATTATACTTGTTTCACTATTAATTATTTCAATTTTCATGATTGTTGCCGTAGGCTGCTTAGCATATAATGTATTTTTACAATAATATTTTTATTCTATGCCTCTTATGAACTTTGACAAATAATAATAATAAAGTTTTATTTATCTTATCATTACTGAGCATACATATATATATGACAAAATAAATCATAAGACAAAATGGTTTGTGACTCAGTGACCAAAGTCTCTGCTATTCTGCCACAACCTTTCCAAATAACAATATCGTGTCCAACTATGAAGACGCATATCATATACTAGGACATTGCAGGATTTCATCGGTTCAAAATACCACCCGTGATCTACACAATCTGTTATAATTTTATACAAAAAGCAACGATATCAAATACCCTAGATATACCAACACGAATAAAATCGTGCCCGAAACCTGTCCAAAATGTACATTGGACGATCCATGGCGTTCCGTAAGATGATCGCGTAGTCAAAAACAATATAATGCATTATTTAAACATTGAAAGTAACCTTTAATGCATACTGTATAAGGTCTTAATAAAAAACGCATGCGTCAAAGAGTTATGGCAGTTCGAAATGCAAGCTCGTAAAATTTTACGACTTCCTGCTATATGCGGAAGATTATAGATCTTTTTTGTTTGACACTACGCGCAATTCTGAATGCGTTGTTAGCAATATAGCAGGTACGGACCGCGAAGAAAAGAGGCGGCTATATTACCGACCATAAATTTGAATATCACAAATATTTCCTATTATATCAGTTCATAGCAAGTATTAGAAAAAAAATTGCTTCAAATGCGTTAAATTAACAAACATTGATTAGACACCTGTGTCGAAAAAACAACACTACATACAATAAGTATTTTTTTTTCGCATTTTTTCACGGAGCTCTGCGGCAACTTGAATTTTCAACGGTCCGCGCGTGACTGTGAACCAAGTGTTGAGTGGTATACAAGCACTTCTTGATCGGGACACATTTTTAGCGCACGTGGTGTATCTAGGGTATTTAATATCGTTAACAAAAAGTAATGCCTTGTATTAGGTAAATCATACAATCAGTAGAAAGTTACACTGCTCTGATACAGGCAAGATATAGGCCATACATATAGCGTGAAAACAAAACTTGCTTGAATGTTAATCCTACTAATTTTAAATAAGTAATAATAAAAAATCTAAAAATAATTCATACAAAAATAAGTTTTAAATGTCAAAAGCCAGACGATTTTCTGGCTTGAGGAGTATTTAAGGAGTTTAGTTTTTCCGTTTAATATTATACATATCTAGCGAAGTAACATGAGGTTGAGTTGAGCCACAGACTACTTAGATACTACGTTCAGTTTTTTTTTTAGTTCGGCAGTTTGCAGTCTGTACGTCAGTCAGTATCTAAGTAATCTGTGGCTCAACGTCGGGTAACTTCGGAATTGGACGGGTAACGGGTTTAACACGCACACACTATTAAAGAGTTTTTCCTCTGTTATCACGGCTGTTGTAACCTGGACAACACATTTGTATAAAGGTAATCAAAACCTTCTAAAAGTAGACGCGAAAGCAAAAAATTGGGTCAATTTTAGTTTCCAAATATAAAAAAACAAAAAATGTTATTAAATGAAAATACATTTTTTTTATATCAAATTTACGTTATACGCACAGGTCATCGGCCCCAACGGATTGTTGAAGAGTAAAACTCGCATTTGGGTGACGCATAGTGTATCGTATTTGGCACAAACAGACCTCGTAGTTGTTTTGCGTGACGGCGAAATATCCGAAGCTGGCACTTACCAGCAACTGTTGGAGAAGAAGGGTGCTTTCGCCGAATTCCTATTGCACCACCTCAGTGACGCCGAAAGGACTTCCCCTGAAGGTACGGAATCACTGTTGAATGTAGGAATGGGGAAGCAAAATGACAATTTATCCCGCCAGAGGCGCAGGTGTCGAATAGCCCATAATCAACAAATCGAGACAGATGTCTAAGTCACAAGGAAAACCGAAAAATTCCGATGGACTTGGGCTGCGTTCCAAACCTACACTCCAGGTGCACCAAATCTCGAATTTGACACGAGTTTCATACATTTTTTTATGTAAAAATTTAAACGTCGGGGTAAAAAGTTGCAGCGAGTACAACTGTAGTAGTGAGTAGGTTTAGAACACAGCCTTGAAGTGGCAGGTTGCATGTTATGAGCCAAACGGCCAAAGTGCTACCTGTAATGAGCTTTGGGTTTTCTTCTCCATTACCTCAGTTCAAATTTAAAATATTTATTATAATTCTTTCAGAATTGGACGCAATCAAAGAACAACTCGAGACAAAACTCGGCACTGAATTCCAAAACAAATTGCAAAGAGCTCGATCATTGTCGGAGAGCAACTCGGAAACAGAACCAGCAAGTTCGGGTAAGAGTACTCCTCGAATATTCCCAATTCATAAACTTACACAATTCCAAAGATTTTGACTTTAATTGCTATGATTAATTTGTTATTGTTAATACTTCATGAATGAACTCAATTAGATTAGCATGTCGTTGAGTTCTTAACCACATTATTTTTAAAAAGATTACATAATTTTAAAGAAAAATTATTTTAATAAGTTTAACCGTTTTTTTAATATTTAATCGCATACACTAATCCATAAATTCTTTCTACATAGGTGACAGAGCCGGCAGTGTAAAACGCAAAACACCAGAGGCCACGCCCAACGAACTCAAAGAGAAGTCTAAGCTTATTGAAGCGGAGAAAACTGAAACTGGCAGTGTAAGTCGATTATAGGGTATTTGGCAAGTTTTATAAAACGATCTTACGTTATTTACTAATTTTTACGTAGTCCATAAAATGTGGATACTCATCATGCTGTTGAGTATTTCAGTAAAAACAATTTAATCAAAAATGCAATTTTCAAGTTGCCGCGAAAACGTTTCTCTGGACAATTATGGCGTCTCACTGGTATGTGACGTCACACGGTTGTTACTAAGACGTGAAACGAAACCATGTAATGTCACTTTGACCGGAATTTTACTAGCGTGTGACGTCATTTTAGTCTTCACCAATCCCAGGCGTTTTAGGTCACATTACCATAGAGCAAATAATCAATTTTATTTATCGACGCTTTAGAAAAGTTGTTAATTATTTGTTATCCCAGAATAGTAAAATCGCTGTTAATATTCATATTGAATACAGATGCCAAAAATAGAGTATTTTCCTTTTTTTTTAACTGCTTATATTTAAAGATAGCATAAACGATTTAACAGAAACAAAAATAAAAAAAAATAATGTCTTTTTTCTCCATTAAACCACTCCGTAATCCCAGATCGTCCACAGACTACATAGGTCAAGGCTGCTCAACCTTTTGAAGAGTCGGGCCAAATGGTAGATTTAGTCGTTAACGACGGGCCACTTACATTTCCTATTTCAGTTACTCTCAGGATTAGCGCAATATAAACTCAATAATTATGAATATAAAATTGAATTATTGTTTATTAGGAACAAAGAGTATCTTATTCTAAATATTATTATTATTAAAAAAGAAACAAAATTTGAATTATGTAAGTACCTGTGTATGTATCTTCTCAAATTTAAATCAACTTTTATGCAGTTCGGTATTTACATACTCTTTTGAGTTCACTAGCTACCAAGTGGCCTTGTTCTGAGAAGAACGGGCAAGAAACTCAGCAAGTTGTTTCCTCCCTTACAAAAAATATTTGTTGTTTGAAAGATTTTACAGTGTGCAACTGCAAACTAAGCAAAGAAAAATGCTATTGTTAATATTATACAAAGACTTTTACAAACTGTAACATATTCCAGTACAAAATAGAGAAAAAAAATACGTGTGGCACTCGGGGACTGCCGCGGTAAAGCTATTGCATAGCATTTTTTATCAATTTATGCAATTATAATTATTTATTTATGCAGTTTTTTCTTTGATATTAATTCATGTTAGACTTTTTGAACGTGGTGACCGATAAGAAAACAATTTTTTTTTCCATCTCCTTCATGCAGTCGGCCAGCATACTTTTTATATCACTGGTGTGATTATTTCTGGCGGCGTTCTCCTTGGCCTTACCCTAGACCTCATCTTCCTTTGGAGAGCCACTGGCCAGGTCGACCGGTTCCCGTACAGCAACCGGTTTTTCGGGCTCAGAAGATTCGCTGATACCATTTACAGGCGAACGCTTGTGGTCACCCCTGCGTGTGCTCTTCTTGCAGTTCGGACATATCCAGTCCTTGACGACACTCGACTTTTCCGGGATGGCGAGGCAGGCCTTATTATATTTTATTGGGCAAGCACAGCAAACAACAGCATTGCCCGGCGCCAAAAAACTTCCACAAGCTCCACAGTTTACCATCTTTAGTCCAAAAAATTTAATTATAATTATAAAGTCTAAATAAAAGGGAGACAAATAAAAATAAGAACAGGTGCTGGGGTCTAAAACAAATATATAAAAAAAAATAAAAAAATAATAACTAAAAATAAAAAATACGAGTGCAGGATTTGAACCGACGACCGCGGTGATGCGTCGAACGTTAGTCCCGTGGCAAAAACTTAACACACTGCGCCGTTTAGATTAACATTAGATTGGCGAAAATTGTGTTCTATTGGTATATGCACTATCGCAAGGTTTTTTCGTTACAGATTTTTTTGATTCGGTCCCCGCGTTCAAAGCACGCGATAAAAGCTATACAATAGCTTAAAAACTAATTTATATTTACTTTATTTATTACAATCAATGTGACTTCTGCCATTGTTTGTCTTTTAATAATTTATTTATATTTGGCGACAAATCCGACGTTGACAGTAACAACAAGTCACAAATATGTTGCTCAGTTAAGGATGTGCGATATTTATTTTTTACAAAATTTAGATCTGAAAAAACCTTTGCACAAACATATGTTGAACCAAAACTACTTATAAACTGTAACGCCAGGTCAGTTATTGCTGGAAATTCTCCTTTTGGTACCAGTTTCCAGAATTCTGCATAATCTTCTGAAGAATTTTGTGCTTTCGACAATTTGTTAGCAAAAAGGTTTTTTAACATAATGTGATTTTGCAGTTCCACAAGTTCTAATTGAATATTTGCAGGATAAGTGACTATTTCAGCCAAACTTATCATGAAAGGATTTAAAAATATTTGTAAATTTTGTTTTTTACTTTCGAAATCTTGAAATCGCGACTCAAACGACTGTGATAAGCTTTTAATTTTAGATTGGTATTTAGAGTAATTAATAGAAGCAATATTGAGCTCATCTTTCAAATGTTTTAGTGTGGGGAAGAGATCAATGTTTTCTGTCGCCAAATTAATTGTAAAGAGATTTAATTTTGCTTTGAATCCGCTTATCATATTAAACATAGTCGGAAGTGAACAATCTTTACCCTGTAATTTGAGATTCAAAATATTGAGGTAATTCGTAATATCAACAAGAAATGCAAGATCACTCAACCAGGATGTATTCTTCAGTAAATCAACTTCCAATGGTAAAGCCTCTTTATGCTCTAAAAATTCCAACACCTGTTCTCGCAAGTTGAAGAAATGTTTCAACATACTGCCCCTTGAAAGCCATCGCACAGCACAGTACAGTTGTAACTCTCCATATTCTTTGATTTCTTCTTCAAATAATAGTCTGAATTGACGTCTGTTAAGAGCTTTTGCACGTATGTAATTTATGCAGCGTATTACTGGGTCCATAATGTCATTCAACTCCATATCCTTGGCACACAAGGCTTCCTGGTGGATAATACAATGATACGAAAATAAATTACGACCTAAGAAATTCTGTAACAAAGCCACACAGCCATTGTTTTTTCCAATCATTGCTGGTGCACCATCAGTGCAAATAGATATCAATTTGTCCCACGATAAAGTATTTTTTTCAATGCATTCCTTAATTTTCAAAAATATGTCTTTTCCTTGGGTTGTGCTTTCTAGCTGACAGACTTCTAGTAAATCTTGCAATACATTCCAATTTTCGTCAACACATCGCACAAAAATAGCCAACTGAGATCTACTCGTTAAATCGCAAGTTTCATCTAACGCCAATGAGAAATATTTGCACTTAGCTACGATTTCTTGAATCTGCTCCTTGATGTCAACTGCCATTTGCTCCACCCGTCTCGTGACAGTGTGCCGTGAGAGTGAAATACTGTCCGCTTTAGCTTTGACGTGTTTATCATCACAATTTTTTGCAAAGATCGTCAAAGCCTCTTTAACAATCTCTCCATCGGAAAACGATTTCTTCTTTTTCGCTAGGAGCAAAGAAATCTCGTAAGATGTTTTAACCATGGATTCAAGCTCGTCGTGCTTTTTAACGAAAATATTCTGTTGGTTAAATAGGTCCCGTTTCTTTTTCTTTAAAAAATCTTCTCTGATAGCACTACCAATAGGGTAATCTTTTTCAAAATTATTATGATTTTGCTTATAATGCCTTTCTAAATTATATTTTTTTGCAGTAGCTACTGTCGTGAAACAAAGTAAACATGTAGGCTTACGCGCCTTGCTTTCAATAAAACAATATTTATTTTCCCATTCGTCATGAAAAACACGATAGGCCTCCGTTGATTTCGAACTACTCGGTTTGCTGTGAGCCATACTGAAACAAACCATATTTTATTATTATTATTACACAGGCAGACAGTTTATAAAACGTGTGGGTCGTGTATCGGTATATTTTCCTTTTCAAATAGATACCTAAGTATGTAATACGAAAAAATAAAATTTTGCCTTCATTATATCTCTTACCTTGGACCTTCCAGTGTAAATACGAAATTGACAAAAACACAAATTCAAAACTTCACTTTCTAACAACAAACTAACAACTAACAGTCAGTTGAACTAAAACACGTACGCACTCAATTGTTTCTCGAAGCATAATGAGATGTGAGATGAGACAGTAAAGTGACGCGGGCGCGCGGGGTTGATGACCGTTCCGACCGTACAATTCCTATCCAAGCTTCGTTACTTACGATTCGCAATGCACAATATTGGAGACGCGGGGGTGGGGTATCAATCCCCGCGCTGCTCGTAGCGAACTGATAGCTAACTTCAGAGAGGTCATAAAGTTTGAATCGGGCTGTACTGTGCGCGGCGGGATTTTTGAATTTGGTGCGTTTTTACAAACCATACTTGCGCGGGCCACACAAAATTCTTTCGCGGGCCACATTGTGGCCCGCGGGCCTGGGGTTGAGCAGCCTTGACATAGGTGTTAAAATTCTTTAAACAAAGTGGACGTCACACAGTAGACGTCATCGAACCGAGCGTTTTGGCGGTAAATTCAACACCATTAAAAATAAATTCAACTTTAATTGGTCTAATGGAGAAAAATATACATTAATGAATTATTTTTAATTTTCTGTTAAATCGTTTGTCACCATCTTTAAATATAACCAGTTTTCAAAAAATTGGAAAATACCCTTTTGCTTCGTTATTTTTCATACTGTTAACTATCCTATTAAAAGAGTCCAACTCGCATTTAGACTGGTCTCGGTCGTTATATAACAAAAAAAAATCCGGCTGATACATTTTTCTTTAAAACGTATGAATATTTTAAAATTTACGAAGGCCGGCCGTTCCGATTAGATCACTGAATCACCTTTTATATTTGCAAACCCGCCGTCAGAATAAATTATCATCTCGTTTATTTTGTTTTAGGTGAAATGGAGTGTGTACAAGCATTACTTGATGAGCGTGGGAGTGCTTGCTTCTGTGGTGACGGTGCTTATGAACTTGATTCTACAGGTGTTCCAGGTCGGCTCTAACTACTGGTTAGCAGAATGGTCCAACGATGAAACTATGGTGAGCATAAATTTAAAGACCATTTGACTAAAAAAAACTGTTTACTCTCTTCGAAATTATTGAATTTTAATAGCTAAACATCCAAAAATCTGAATCTAATAGTTGCTAATGCTTAATATAAAACTATAATCTATGCTGAGTAATTAACTAAATCACTGACAATTGTGTACTAAAACAAGCACAAATATTGTGCTATTATAAGATAGCTGTCTTGTGTGTGTATGAAAACTATTACGTCATTAACGCAAATTGACGACTTGCGCTGTGGCCGGTACACCGGTTTTTGGGTCATATTTGAAAATCTGGCGTCCCGGATCATGACTTAATATTTGTGTGATGAATACGAGAATTTGTATTTAATGGCGCGATTACACTTGATCGTTAGCTTGAATACGAATGCCATTGGAATACGGGCAAACGACTAAGTGTAAATGGACGGAGTCGAGTATGCCCGTAATTGGGTAATTTTTATTGACACCGTATTCCAGTGTAAATATTGCTTTGGGTGTCCGAATTGGAGTTACGTCTTTCGTGCACCCGAACACGTGCTAACGACCAAATGTAATTGCGCCGTAAGGCCCACTTGCAGCAAATTTGCTAAATCGAAATTTAACTAAAACTAGATGTGGTCCATAGAAAAATGTCAAAACGTCAATGTCAATTTGATATTATTGTATGGGCTATATCTAGCTAGTCATCTTTATAAATTTCTTATACTTGTCTATGTATCACTAAAAAGTAATGAAGTATCAGTAACCCTTATATCGTATAACACAAGCCTATGGCCCTTCGTACACGCAAGTCTTCTATACGTGTTAATGTATTACGTAAGCGCAGTGTGTATGCAGAGTAAGCATCTACCGCAATACAAAACAAAATGTCTGCAACGCGTGCAAGTGTACCTTAGAATAATAATTTAAATATAGAATAATAATAAGGTCGACTTTACCTTTATAGTGTATGGCATAATAAGGAACAAAAAAAACGAGCGAGCCTTACAGTAGTCGTGTATGATGATGTGTAACATTTGTAACCTCACCTTATATTAATAAAAAAAGAAATGAAACCTACTACAAAAGGAATAAGCCATTTGAACATTACGTTCTAAAATCAAATCAAATGGCGCGCGCTTTCGCGACGTCCGGTTACACATTTCCGTCCCATTTCACGAAATCACTCCCACAAATTGCAGGAACGGGAGAGGAAAGATGTTACAAATCAAAAAATATATAATAATAAGTAAAATATTATTCTATGATGTACACGAACACCTTTATCCATGTTATTGGTATTGCAGTAGTCGATTGGATACCAAAGTCTAGGTATCGAAGATTTGAGTAGCGTTGTGTACGAAGGGCCTTCCAGTGCTTACTTTGGGGCTAAGCTAAATGGTATAAGTGTTAATAATAATAATGAAGTTAATTCCCTTTCCACCAGATTGTTATTGTAACATCGTGACAATCGTATTTTCAACTGTTAAAAGAGTTTCTGTAAAATAAGCATTAAATAAATGGAATAAAAAGTTTCAGTAGCACACGCACCAACAGAAACAGAATTCATTATCATCAGCCTATTATTGTCCCCACTGCTGGGGCATGGATGGAAAACGCAGAGAATTTTTAATATTTTCTTGCAGCCTAAAGTATACTAGAGAAAATTCGACAAGGACAATTAGAGCCGCGGTAGCATAATGGTCAGTGCATCCGCCCGAATAGCGGAGAGTGCTGGTCCGCGTGGAATTCTTTCTAGTAAAGTTCTCTTTAGATGATAACATTTGGCAGTTAAATGCTTATATTATAATAAAAATATAACTTTCAGATTGTTAACGGCACTGTGGATAAAGCCAAACGGGATCTTTACCTCGGCGTCTACGGTGGTCTGGGCATCGGACAAGGTAAGCATACTCTCAAGCTGGCTAATTCCCAACTTCGTTACCAAATGCAAGTGTGAAGCTAGCACTTCACATAGCTATTCGTATTTAATATTTGTCATTTTGACAGCAGGTTCTCCTTATCGATCTCTGTATAGAAAGAAAAGGAAAGACTGTTGTCAATTTAACAAATAACAAATGAGAATAGCCATATGAAGTTCCGGCATGAGGCATGTGGAATTTGCGCGGGAACAATCACAACTTATAATATTATTCATACAATTTTATCGTTAACCATTTCGCAAGGGATAGTATATCATGGAAAATATGTAATGTATGATTATTTGTTTTCGGTAATAATACAATATATCTGATATCAACACTTGCTAACTTTATTGGGATTAAGTGAGAGGAATGCTGCAAACCAAACGGAAACGGCGAGTTCTCGTACCATAAATCAATGGGATCTAATAGCTAATAAATATTTTACTGAAGAATTTCTTATGAAATTGGCACTACTTAGAAAACACCATATTACTGCAAAGTTAAAATAATTGAGTTAAACTTTTTCATATCCCTATTGTTGAACTCGATTATCTATTTATAACGTTATCGACGTAATTTGGAAATTTCTGCAGAAATAACACATTTTCCATTCTGTACGGTTTTTTTTATTAGAAGAGACTGTCGCTTAAGATTTCAGCAGCAACATCTCTCACTTTAGTAACTGTATTGATTATCACTAAACTTCTATTAGTACCAAATTTTATGAAATGAAACGAAAGCATAACCAAACGATTAATTGCACTCCTATGTACCAACTACTTGTAACTGTTCTACCTAATAATATTAAGCACTTTGTTGTAAAAAATAATCTCTTAAACTCGATTTCCATGATGGAAAGAAACTATTAACTATTGCCACATTGGTGTCGATTCTGGCATGATTCTCTAACATCAGCCTCTCTTTAATTTTTTATAGAGAATGACAAAGATACACTGTTGTCAAATTAAATTTTAGGTTTAGAGAATAATGCCAGGTTCGACACCACTTTTGACTAAAAGGGGATACATAAAAGGAGAGGGCTACTTGCACCCCGTCTCAATAAATAGCGATGATTGCATTACATTGGTGTATGATGGTCTCTTATAAACGCGATCAGCTGCTTATAAATATGATTTCTTTAACGAAAAATACTGCAGAAGTTCATATCTTTGTATCCATCGTGTCGCAGCATAAGGTATGACGTTTATAAGATGCCACAGCCTAAGAGCTACATTCTCTAATTACTAAATTTAACGTTTTCGTCTATCAACCTTACTTTGATTAATGTTTTTTTTTATAAACATGATACAAAATCATCTTAAAATATCCAAAATCCCATTATTATTATGAGACATTTATAATTTGGTGATTGTCATAATAATATAATTTATGCCTTATTAAATAACTAATACATATTGTGAAATGGATAATGAATACATTGTTTATGTTTCTATTCACCATTCTTTTTTGGGTATGTTTATTCGATTAAAGTTTAATTTCCTCATCATATTTGCATGTATTGATTTTAATATTTTTTAACTATTACTTATGCATGTAATAATGGTGATTTTTGGGTTTCAGTTCAAAAATGGTTTAATTCCAGATCTTCCATCTATGCTTGTAAATTTTAGGCACAAATATTTTTGCATGTGCGTCCTTTAACTTATATATATTTTTTTATGATTATTACAACCTCATTCTACATGTTAAAATTATAATAAATAAATGCATGGAAAGGTAATTTTTAATAAACAGAGTATATGTAAAAGAAACACTTCCACGTGTGTATTTTTGAGAGTTTATTTTTATGAATAGGTACTATAAAAATGATAGGATCTATGTGATACCGGGTTCACACGAGGCGATTTCAGTTGATCAAGTGCCAAATCGCATGCGATTTGAACCGTCTGAACTGACTATCAATCAAAATTAAGAAATAATATTGAAGAAAAGCAATTGAACGATAAAAGTTAAACAAACCCTCCCTCTTTCAACCTGGGATCCTTTTAAAGAGGCGTGAAGAAGCAACATGCAGGCCAGCAGGGTGAGGATGGCTGGTGTGGCAGGTAGAACTGCTGTATCAGCTATCTTCGCGTCTAGATTTCACCGTCACTTAACATCAGGTGGGGTGGAATTATATGTCGGACCTATCTATAAAAATAAAATGAAAAAGTTAATCAATTTAAATCGCCTCATGTGAACCCGGTATAAGATGTTAGTGTCACAAGTTATTGAAAAACTATTGATGTTAGCAGATAATCGTAGCTTAACGTTCCACCATAGGTAGCCTTACAAATCTTCGGCATGTAACAATAAGTCATAAAATTTTGCGAGCTTGCATTTTGTACTGTCATAACTCTTTGAGGCATTCGTTTTAATTAAGCCCTTATACAGTATGCATTAAAGGTGACATTTAATGTTTAAATTGTTTTTGATAACGCGATCATCTTACGGAGCTCCGTGGATAGTCCAATGTACCTTTTGGACAGGTTTCGGCCACAATTTTGTTCGTGTTGTTGTATCTAGGTTATTTAATATCGTTGGCACTATAACATTTTATGAATTAAATATGAATCAAATTGTATCAAGTTAAAGTGCGCGTTATACTTGCGCGGGGGACTTAATCGGCTCAAAACTTTTTCGCGTTAAATGGATGAGCAAAATATCTTCGCAGTCTTATTTTGATTTACTACTGTGCTCGCGTCTGAATCCGCAATTAACAAAAGAACTGACAATATAAAAGTAACCACAAAAATATTAAAAATTTTCTGCGCCCAGAACCCGCGTTCGGCGGTTATAACCATGTCTACGGTTATAACTAGTCCCTAAGCAAAGGGAAGATATTTGTAGTAATGTTTTTATTTATTTTTTTAAGCATTTAACTGCTAGATGTTTAAATCTAAAGAAAAGTTTACTAGAAAAAAATCCACGCGGTCCAGGCAGCGGACGGGACTCGAACCCGCGCTCTTCGCAATCCGGGCGAATGCACTGACCATTATGCTACCACGGCCCTATTCGCCGCGTCGAAATTTTCCTAGCCTTAAGCTGCAAGGCAGCGCCATCTCTTCGCATTGTAGGTAACCCACAATGTCAAATAAATACTTTTTCAAGTATTAAACATTTGAAAACATTTTTTTCTATTAAAAAATTTCTTTAGATTTAAATATCAAGCAGTTAAATGCTTAAAAAATATAATAACAACATAACTTTAGTCAAACTTAAAAGTAATACTTCTCTGAATGCAGCCGTAAAAATCATCTCTCAACTAAGATACTTCAATTAAGCTTGAATAAAGTTGGCGCTGTCACATTCATTGCCTAAATTAATAACTTAAGAAAAAGCAAAAGAAGTAACTTAATGAAGCGCTTAATTTAATTTAAGTGAAATGTAGTACAGTTGCCATTTTTTTTAACGTAGCAGAGTATATCGTATCTCATAGTGGGTAAATAGAGGACTAATAAAAAAGATTACTCTTAACTTTAATAACGGTCGCGAGTTGGTTCTACTACATTTACAATGGACAGTACAATTTGTGAGTAGTATAAATGGGTAAATTCTACATACCTATCTGGTATCAGTGTAGTAAACAGGAAAAGATTATGTAAAAAATAGTATTTTAGCGTATATTCTGATAGCTACTACAGATTTTAAAGTACGACGTACGTATATTTATACTGAAATACCGATTTACACTTAATCGTTTACCCAAATTCCATCGGCACTCGTATGTGGGCTATCGATCAAATGTAATCGCACCATTAAATTCTACTTTTCAAAAATCTGTGTATTTTCTAGGCATTTTCATAGGAAAAATCCCTATATGCGCTAATATAAATAAATTATGTGGTGGGGTTAGGCAACGCTAGTGTATACAGGCAAGGCAATGTTAGGGGGGACGTTGGTTGGGTCGGTGTAGTGGTAATGTGACGCGACCTGGTCGCAGTGGTGTCGGTGTCGGTGTCGTCGCTGGCGCTGTATCTCGGCACGCTGACGGCGGCGCGGGGGCTCCACGCGGCACTCCTAGCGGGCGTGCTGAGAGCGCCCAGCATCGGCTTCTTCGACTGCACACCCGTCGGCCGCGTGCTCAACCGGTTCAGCAAGGACGTGGACGTGCTCGACAACGTACTGCCCATGACACTGCGCGGCTGGACCTCCTGCTTCTTTGCGGTATGAGCCGGCCGGTGATGCTTCTACCCGCGACGCGATCTACTACCTAGCTACTACGAGTCGTTGACTACGTTTTATCTCCATACGTACGACTGGTGCAAGGTCTAATACACGGAATAGCAAAGCACCCCCCTCCAATAGAAACCGCATGCAAGGACACCCGCTTGTGCCAAGCCTAGGTAGTCCTGTGCTTCGGGGGGTAGAGGATTGGTTCAGGGTAGGCAACGGTGCGAGTTATATTTTTGGCTTTGCAAGCGTCTATAGGCTATGGTGGCCTTTAGACGCTTGTTTTCCACTATTTCAACTTAAAAAGGTAGTATATATGCGTGAGACACGCCTCCAGATGTCGACCAACGTCGATAAATTGTTTCACCTAATTTGTCACTTGACCGTGATGTCACATTGACGTGGCAACTCAAAACTCGGCTTACCCGTTCCGCACACAGCCAACTTTGACGATTTCAGTTTCAAACAAAAATTTAGTAAAGCGGACTCTAGTGGGGATGCAGTCATGAGGAAACGGGAAAGAAGTGGCGTTATATTTTTAGCTAGGGAAGGCGATGTGTATAGATTAAACGAGGCAAGAGTTGCATATAGTGCTTACTTTGGGGCTAGGCTAATTGGTGAGTGTCCGAAATATTAATTTATTGAAAAAAAAAATTGTTGCAGTCAAAACTCTATAACTGGTTAAACACACTTGACTGCTCAAATCAGTGAAGTATACTGTAAATTGAGGATCTTCGAAAAAATTACGTTGCTTAGTTTTACATAACTACTTGGGACTGATTTTGCAAAAGTGATTTGACTGCTTATTTGTTTTGACTGTTATATACACAAATCTTGCATAATTTTATCTGCACAATAACGCCCCCTTAAAATACAGCGCCACTGTTGTATGTACGGAGAGAAAACTATCAAAACTCGTAGTAGCCTCTTTCAGGTCGGGTCCTCGAGTATGGCACCGCCACGGCGAGACTGCTTATAAGACAGAGCTATCTTCTATTGACTACTTATAATAATACGCAAAGATCCTGCGTTTCTCATCCTACAAAATGATGCGTTATTTCAACCTCCCTAAAATCGACGCCGAAGGTCGCTGTACTCGCGTTCTCGGCCTCACAGACTTTACCGATCGTATATTACATACCTAATATTTACATACAATTTACTAACACGAAAAGTAGACGTGGATTTGTTTTCAATGTACATTATTGCATTGTATCCTACAGAATCATAATATCTACTTGTCGTAATAAACGTATTAAAATTTATTGACAGAACATGTAGAATTATACACAATTTAAGAATGTTGTATTTTTTTCATAATCCTTTAAACTTAATACTTTCAATGAGGCTGCTTATGGAAACAAATTGGCGTTGGTTGTTGTGTTACGTCGCAAACGTTATTAATATATTTGATGTAATTACCAAAAACTGTTATAATGGAAATGGTTAATTAGTACACCAAGTTAAGAACATCAATTTAAATACAATAATACTAAATTATTGTATATACACCTACTAAAGGTGTATATTTGAAATGAATTAGGTCCGCAATACCATATTAAAAATAACCAACATAAAAAAAAATACTGACGTGGGATCAGTTTATGTGTAAATGTCGCTTTGCAAAAAGACAAAAAATGTATATAACTATATACCTATTTAATACTCTTACGCTTTACTTAAGCGATTAACAAAACTTGCAAACAAGCGCGCTGAATCTTCGTATACAGAAAAGAATGTAATGTGCATGTTTTAATATTGTTTTGATATAGTTTTTCTTCATTGTAGCGAGCTAAGTAGTCAAACTTGTTATGTATCGCCCTTGCACCATTCATATCCGTACACTGTAGTGTTGCTAGTTATCGCGAATTTACTTTCATACGGTGACATAAAAATGTATTCATTATTTAACAGTTGGTAGGTTTGTTTGTGACCAGTGTTTAATGCACATTTTGATGTGCGTTGTTGCAGCAATCACGTCGATATTTGCCGATTTAATGCTCTATTTGGCGTGTTGGCGGGCTGCGAGGACTGTTCACGCGCTCTTATTGGACAGTATGCTAAAGACTCCGTTGCAATTCTACGACGTGACACCCGTTGGCCGAATACTCTCTAGATTCTCTAAAGACATTGATGTTTTGGATACGTCACTCCCTTCTCAGTGCTCAGATGCGATTTTTTGCGCGTTCGAGGTAATCCTCCGTAGATAAAGAAGTATTACTTTTTTATTCCAATATATTAAATCGGTTTTCTATTATGTTCTTTCGGTAGGTATATTGCTTTATTTTTACATCATCGTTCCTAAATTGATTTGTGTTTAACTTGTTTTGTTTTTGTCCGAATCATTTGTTCTTTTGTTATTTTTCTTCTAAGTTACGTGTTTCAAAATTTTTGTCACTACCTACTACCTATTCAGTGAGTCTATCAATGTCTAAAGAAATTATAGTTGCCTACCTTTTTCTACAAACCTCGCGCATATCAAAAATACAAGTGGTTATAATTGCTTTGTGGGTCTTAACTATCTAAAATAAATAATAAAGTATCTCTACGGAAGTATTTACCATATTTGTTTAACTTTAACGCAAGCTTTTTATAAAACATTGTATTATTTTGCGTTAAAGAATTATCGAACAGTGACTTTCATTCCTCAGATATTGATATATACTTACTTAAATAGCAATTGCTGTCAATGTATTTCTTTCATAATATTATTATGTAACTAATAAAGTGCGATTAATATAAAGACATACATTCTATACCTTTATAATTCCATTCGTAACTAACTTTTGCATTACATTTGTAAACTGATCCCAGGGCAAGACAAATATACAATTCATTTTATTGTACTATTTACCGATTTAACATACACTGTTTGAACAAGCCCTTTATGTGTTCGTTTAACATATTTTAACCTTATGTTTCACATTCGATAAGTATATGTAAAATGCTTGATTTAGAATAGCTTTCATTTTGTTTCCTAGAGAACCTTAATTATAAAACTGAACTCGCTATGATTACCCTAAGTTGATCGCATCATAAAACTCTAGGTATTGGGAACATTGTTCGTGATAAGTCTGTCGACGCCGATCTTCTTGGCGATCGTTTTGCCCATCGGTGTCGTGTACTACATCATTCAGAGGTTCTACGTGGCGACGTCGCGGCAGCTCAAGAGGCTGGAGTCAGTATCACGGTCACCGATATACTCGCACTTTGGAGAGAGTATTACGGGAGCATCTACTATTAGAGCCTACGGTGTCACCCAGAGGTACGTGAATTTCAGCTTTTTATCCGAATATAATCAAGGGCGGATCCAGCTTTGGCGCCAGCCCCCCCGTCATTTCTATTGACGTTACGTATTTGTTCGCCACTAGCGACACGTGTTTGTCAAAATCAATACGCACATATTGACGTTACGTATTTGTTCGCCACTAGCGACACGTGTTTGTCAAAATTAATAGCAGTAGATAAGGTAATTATTTTCGGGGATGGCGGGAGCAGTCCTTCTGGCTACTTTAAATTTTGTGGTGACACACACGAAGAGAACAATTACGTTATTTTATTACATAGACAAATGTAATATATAAAATTCTCGTGTCACGGTGTGCGTAATTTAACTCCTCCGAAACAGCTCGACCGATTTTCGTGAAATTTTATATGCATATTCAGTAGGACAAATAATCGGACATCTTCTTTTCATCCCCCTAAATGTTAAGGGTGGTCCACCAATAAATTACATTTTTTTGGTCATTTTTTTTTGTTTTATTTTTTTTATGATACATCATACAAAAATACATACGACCCTAATACCCTTTGATATTTTGGAATGGTTAGGGAATAATTTTGAACAAATTGCTTTAATTATCAGTATACAAGCACTATCATTTGTGTTAGAATACAATATTTATTTATTGCGCTATCGTACACAAAAATTTGTATTACATTAAAAAGTTTATCTCTCAGAAAAATCAACTTACATGAATCACATTTAAGCCCATCTATTGTAAAAAAAATGCATTTTCTTCGCAATAAAGCTGCCACCTGGACGTCCTAGATAGAGACGTCCAATATATTGAAAGTCAACCACCATTCCAATTTTATTGTTTTCGTCTTACAAATTTTTGATTAGGTCACGTGTCCTGAAACGAGTTAAACATTCGTTACCCTTTACAAAAAAAAGTGTACAACGCCGCTGAAGAAGTTTTCACTTCAAAAATTTGTTTTACCAGGTTCGTTGAGGAATCCGAACGCGGCGTAGATCACAACCAGACCTGCTACTACCCCAGTTGCATCGCGAACCGATGGCTGGCGGTCCGCCTGGAGATGATGGGGAACCTTATAATATTCTTTTCGGCATTGTTCGCTGTACTGAACCGGGACACCGTCAATCCCGGTCTCGTCGGTCTGTCTGTCAGCTATGCTTTACAGGTATGCTTAGTTTTAAATGTAGCAATACCTACCTAACTTCATATTATTCTATTCGACGATGTTCACTGTGCTCAACAGCTTCCCAACTAAATCGACATACAAAGTGCGCTCTAGCAACGCACACATAGATACCGCTCATGGACACGATATCTCGAAACAGTTCAGACCACTGCGAGCGTGAGCTCAATCCGTTTGAGACACGCGTCTGTGAACTTTTTGTGCAAAAATGGAGCAACAAAAAACAAGTTACTATATCTGTTCAGTAGACGGTTTTTTAAATTTAACATTATACGGTGAAGTGTCATTTTTTAATCAATTTTTAACATAATAATAGTATAAATTTTATTTTAGTTATTATTGGTTTATATTTCCGTTCTTTATCTTGCATTCTCTATAATAAATTAAACAACTAGATACGAATGCCACTGCCGCGATTTTTTTTGTGCATAACCCAATGTTGACAATCCTAGCGAGACCGCCGAGCGTAGGCATGCAAAGTGAAGTACAAACATGAGATAGCCGTTATTTTTTTAAGCATGTAACTGCTCGATGTTCATGGGATAAACTTCTTTACTCTCTATTTTGTGGCTTCACTACAGATATGCTTAGAAATTAAGTTATTCTATAACATAAACTAGAAGGGATGGGCTAACTTTTTCCTTAGCATGCCAACATTTACTATGAAAATCTATTGCGGGCCAGGATTTTGAATTGATTACGTTTTCTTTATTAAAATAAAAGTAATTGGTAACTTTTTCTAAAATATTTATTATTAACATGACTTCCATCCTCCTTTCACTCCCTTAAAGGATGATTTCTGGTATAAAAACTATCACTTTACGAAATTCATCTCAACGGGTTCAACGTTTTAAGCGTGAATAGACAACAAACAGACAAACACATTGTCGCATTTAAAATATTAAGTAAGGATACAACAATGTTATGAAAGACTAACTGGGGGCCATTCGCCTAACGGAAGTGTTTTGGAAAACGCTAACGCTTACGATTTCATTTTGTTATTTCTACCGCCTGAGGTTTTCAAATGCCTCGCACTCTTTTTTTATCTTTTGAATTGATAAAAACAATATTAAAAAAAATGAGCGTGAGGTATTTGAAAACCTTCGGCGGTCAGAAATAACAAAATTAAATCGAAAGCGTTAGCGTTTTCCAAAGCATTTCCGTTAGGCGAATGGCCCCCTGAAGTAAGTTGTTCCGACATCGATCACCCCGCTGCTAAAGCTAGTACTTAGAGGTTGTCGTAACATGAGAGATAATGCTACTACTGTTTTCGTCGGTGGAGTCAAGAATTGTTGGTGGGATTTGCCTTTGATTGTTGTTTAATAGTCTCGGGACAGAATTCAACCACTTGAGAGCCGGAGATGATCCCTCCTTGGACTAGAGAATTATTTGAGCAGATAAGTGTAAAAGAAACGAAGCAATCACGAAGCAAATGACCTAACAATTTACAGCATTATTATTAGTATATGCTAAACTTGTTTACAGATAACTCAAACACTAAATTGGTTGGTAAGAATGACCTCGGAAGTCGAAACGAACATAGTAGCGGTAGAGAGAATAAAGGAATACGCGGAGACGCAACAGGTAATTTTCTTCCTTTATCATTGTCAGTTTTATAAGTTCGTCTTCATATAAGAATGATAATTCCGCAAGTTGACACTGAGCCTTTATTGTTTAATGGCATCAGTCCTGTCGCCTTAATAGATCGGTCTCAACTCAGACAGCGATCTTGAGTACGATCTGCAGATGCTGTTTTGTATGAATGCCTACTGCACATAGAGTCTAAGGGCCGTCGGAAATATTTATGTTGTATTATGTGTACAGGTGGTTTATAAAAAACCATGACTCACGACTTTCTTTCTCTACTCTCGGCTCTACTCAGTTGACTTATTAAGATTAAATACTTATATTAAACCTTGTACCTTCAAATGGGCATACACCGTGAATCGTAAGTTATCAACAGTAAACGTACTACACCCTCATAGAAAAATATAGATTTATAAAACGGTACTTTGTAAATAACATACCTACGCAGATCCTAAAAGTAGTTCTATTGGAATCAATTTATAACAAATAAAATTGCTAACGTTTCCTAATTGCAGAAATTGTGAGTAAACGTGGAGTCATTTAACGAAAAAAAACAGGCTTTTTTCCTTAGTGTAATCTAAATCGTTGTCTGAATTAGCTGGTAAAGGTAACTCAAAATTCACGATGTATTAATACTTAAAATACCGTACAATTTGCAGATGACTTAAAAACTAATTAAATGTGTTTGAATCATTTATCTAACTTTGGGATAGATAATCCTAATCCTAATCTGTTAGGAGGCGCAATGGAACCTCCCGAACGGTCCGGGTTCGACGTGGCCGGAGACTGGCGCCTTACAACTAGAGCAACTGACGCTCGGGTACCGCGCGGGAGAACCGGCGCTGCGCGACGTGACGTGCACCGTGGCCCCGCGCGACAAGCTCGGCATCGTAGGCCGCACCGGTGCCGGCAAGTCAACGCTCACGCTCGGCCTGTTCAGGTATGTACCGCCCCGGCCCCGGTGACTGCACCATGGCCCCATGCGAAAAGTTCGGCATCGTGGGCCGCACCGGTGCCGGCAAGTCAACGCTCACGCTCGGCCTGTTCAGGTATGTACCGCCCCGGCCCCGGTGACTGCACCATGACCCCATGCGAAAAATTCGGCATCGTGGGCCGCACCGGTGCCGGCAAGTCAACGCTCACGCTCGGCCTGTTCAGGTATGTACCGCCCCGGCCCCGGGGACTGCACCATGGCCCCATGCGAAAAGCTCGACATCTTGGGCTGCACCGGTGCCGGTAAGTCAACGCTCACGCTCGGCCTGTTCCGGTATATACCGCCCTGGCCCCGGTGACTGCACCATGGCCCCGTGCGAAAAGCTCGGCATCTAATTAACTCTAACTTCAACGATCGCAGCCGAACGCGCTAACCACCTGCGCCATCGAGCTCTCTACATCGAGAATAATGTATTCAAAATCGATTGTCCATAGGATTGTAGAGGCGATGGGCGGCAAGATCCTGATCGACGGCATCGATATATCCACGATCGGTCTACACCAGCTGCGTTCGCGCATCACCATCATCCCCCAGGACCCGGTGTTGTTCTCGGGAACGCTCCGAATGAACCTGGACCCTTTCGAGGCTTACACCGACGACGAAATATGGCGATCGTTGGAGCACGCGCATCTCAAGAACTTCGTCAAGGGTGAGTCGTTTAGAGCCGCGTCCGCCATTTTTTTTTACACATACCAATTAGCCTAGCCCCAAAGTAAGCACTGTAAGGCTTGTGTTATGGGATGCTAGGGTAACGGATAACATACATATACTGAACATAAGTATGTTTTTATAGAAATACATATTAAACATTCATGACTGAAGTACTAATGCTCGTATTCATCACACAAACATCTGCCCCCACCGGAATTCGAACCCGGGTCCTTATGTATTCATATAAATATACTGATATATGTACAGAATATGTATTCTATCCCTTACCCTAGTATCCCATAACACAAGCCTTATAGTCCTTCCTTTGGGCTAGGCTAATTGGTGTGTTGGAAATCTTTATTTATTCATATCTTAAAAATTTACACAGGGCTTCAAGCCGGGCTAAGGCATGAGATATCGGAAGGGGGCGAGAATCTGTCTGTGGGACAGAGACAGTTAGTCTGTCTCGCTCGCGCGCTACTTCGTAAAACACCGCTTTTGGTGCTCGACGAGGCCACCGCTGCCGTCGACCTCGAGACCGATGAACTTATACAGGTCAGTATTCTATTGCACGGATGTTACAGAGCTTCGACTCCGATTTCGATAAGGCGGAACTTCCGATTATTATTACATCTTCGGTTCCGATTTCGGCTCCGAAACTTTTTAATCGGAGGTCTTTTATAACTGATTTAGTAACTGGTTCATACCCGTCGCGTTGGGAGTTTGTGTTAATAATAGGTAAATTTAAATGAAAAAAGGTTGACTGAATGATGTTTTTATTTGTTCTTAAATGAAAAATATCTTTCTTGTGACCACTGCTGACTCTGCCGTTAACCCCAACTCTGCCTCCGACTCCGGTTCCGACTCCGATAAATCAAATTTAAAAACTCGGACTCCGGCATGATGAATGAAAATGAAAAAAAAATCCAAATATTTTTTTGTTTGTACAAAATTAGAACTGCTCTCATATAAGTTAACCCTGTGTAGTAAAGTTTGGGTGTGTGATTGTATATTGTGTATGTGCTTGCGTGTAAGTGTGTGTTTGTGTGCGTGGATATTTATTTATGTATAGGTCTAAGACAAGCTAATAATTATTTGTACTAATTGTTCTATATAATGTTTTAAATTTTTATGGTCACTAACATTATAGTAATATAAGTTATTTACGGGATTGTTACCATGTACCTTGTTTTTAAGTAACAGATTGCAACATTGGTATCGATTCTGGCACGATTCTCTAAATTTAAACTTAAAATTGACAATAGTGTATCCTTGTCATTCTCTATACAGAATGAAAAGAAGAGACTGATGTTAAATTTAGTTTTAAGTTTAGAGAATCACGCCAGAATCGATACCATTGCCGAAATATCGGAAACTCGCTAAAGGCTCATATTCGATTGGACCGCACCATTCGACCTTAGTATTTAGGTACTTTGGGTCGCGAGTGCATCGATCGAGCGACGGCCGCGGCATTTTGATTTAAATCTGATTTATCCAGAAACCGGTTTGGTTTTGGTTCCAGAGCGTTTGAGAATCTATAATCATCATCATCAGCCTTTTAATATCCTCGCTGCTGCGCCACAGGCCTTCCCTATGGATGGTATAGAGAGAAAGAAACCGGGACCAACGGCTTAACGTGCTTTCCGAAGCACTGAGGAGCTCGAGATAATTAGTTTTGGTCAGCTATGCCATGGCACTGGGTCCAGTCGCGATTCCAAATCTTTCAGGGACCCACTAGAATTAACACGTAAAACTTCATCTTAAATTAATCCAGCCTTTTAGAAGTTTATACATAAAGACGTAACAAAAATAAAGGAACATTATTGACACAGCGATGGGTTGCATAATTTATTAGCTGTTGCAAAGTGTTTCATTAAATGATTGGCGCACTCGGAAGTACACATAAGAACTTGTTTGTAAATATGTCCAATCATTCCGATTGTTCTCATCGTATTCGTATGCTGGCACTTTACATGGCTTTTCGTATTTGCTATTTGTAAACTTTACAACTGTCTCTTCTTTTCATTCACTATAAAGTAAGAAAAGTTGCCTGGAAGAGTTCGCTTTAAGCGATAAGGCCTCATTACATCACTTGTACTTAATATTCGATGTTTTTTGTGGTGTACAATAAAGAGTTTTTGTATTGAATTGATAAGACCTGCTGTGAAATTAACATGCAGCAAATACGAATAGATATGTGAAGTGCGCATATGTGTATTCGTTAAAGCACTATTCATTTTACCACAGAAAACAATCCGTTCCGAATTCGCATCGTGCACAGTGCTGACGATCGCGCACCGTTTGAACACCATAATGGACTCTACTCGCGTCATGGTCCTGGACAAAGGCCAACTTGTGGAATACGCTCCACCAGAACAGCTGCTTCAAGACAAGAACAGCATCTTCTACGGCATGGCCAAGGACGCAGGCCTCGTCAGCTAAACATCACAACTCAATATCAAACGCCACCCATTCGGGAAATAAATATCGCACCCGCCCAAGTTCACGCTCGTAACTGACTTTCAGTACGATTCAAACTTTATGGCGGTTTTGAAGAGCAGCGAGCGGAATTATACGCAGTTTGCAGTTCAGTGAAACTTCGCGCGCATCTAGAAACTAGAACTACAGTGCGACAAGGATCTTTGTGAATATAAGTAATAGTTCAGAGAGGGCGCTGCTGAATTCTTAATGTTTCAAGTTCTAGAAAATCTCCCGATTTTTAGGAAACTCATCTTATTCTATATTTTATATACATAATTCGAAAAATTTACGTAAAATTTTAATGTAACTGATTTTATATATTTTTTATGATCATTTTTATACCACCAAGGAATTAACAATCTAAAATAAAGAATTACCTGTGTCGATTCCAGCGAGATTCTCTAAACTTAAAACTAAATTTAACACCAGTCTATCCTTTTTATTCTGTATGAACAATGACAAAGATGCACCGTTGTCAAATTCAAGTTTAGGTATAGAGAATCATGCCAGAATCGACACCACTGCTAATTTAGATATTATTTGACATTGGTGTCAATTCTGGCGTGATTCTCTAAAGCTAAACTTAAATTTGACAATAGTGTATCCTTGTCATTCTCTACACAAAATGAAAAGGAGAGACTGATGTTAAAGTTAGTTTTAAGTTTAAAGAATCATTCCAGAATTGACACCTTTGTAGAGCTTTGTTTTATTAATCAAATGCCTATATTATACAATGGTTCAGCCTATTGCAATACCTACTGTTAATAAAAGTAGTTCCATGGCCAAATCTTATAAAAAAAAAGTTGTTACTTTTATTTAATTGATAATGTTTTATTTGTTCACCCTTAACTTCCGTATAATACAATCAGTTCTGAATGGGGTGACCCTCTGGCGTTACAAAATATGACTTTTAACAAACATGGTGGTGTTAGTTTTCTTTTCTTTCTTTCTTTCTTTCAATAGTTGGTCCAAGCATCACATCGCAATAGTAAAATGCTTAAGGTTGCGGTTGATGCGCATTGCGCGATTGGAGAGAGAAAGCTAGCGGTCTCTCATCTTCTTTCTCTTTAAGGGACAGTTCCACTTGCAGTAGAGTCTATATCTCTCCTACTTTTATACCTCTATGACTGTACTACGTTTCGTTTAATGCACTGCGACTGGCGCTTACTTCAGAGCCGCCGTTATCTTTGAATCGGACTAACTTTCGGTTCACATTAAAATACCCACCTGAACCCGTGATCAGATCGCTCGGACGCTACCAAAACTTCAAGAATTTACGAGAACCGTTGTAGAGCTACATTTATTTTAGGATGATGGTTGTAGAACTTTGTCAGTACTCGAATGAGGTTTAGCTAATTAGGCGCCCGATTATCCGATCACTACTCATTACTGAATGGGAGAATATTATTAATGTAAAGCTCACACAATTTTTATACTCTTACACCGTCTGTTGTCGATATTGGTTTAAAATATTCTGTGAGTGAAATTTTTCACTGTACTCACAGTTGTATCAATTTTTTTTTCTATGATAGTATGCTGACTTTTTATAAAAACGATCACCTGTTTTTATAAAATGTCAGCATATGTCATAAAATTCATCATCATCATCTAAAAAAAATATCAACTGTTTGAGTGGTGTGAGCTAATTAAATTCCACAAGGTCGATAATCGCGGATTTTTTATAACACAGTAAGAAAGTTGTCGCTATTATTATGTTGAATGCAGAGAGTAATGTAATGTAGAGCTACTTGTAATACAACTGGCAATAATTTAGTTTAAACTTTTTACAGGTATTTAGATGATTTTACTTATACTCAGTATTTTTTGTGTTATTTATGAAAAGACTATCAGACTATATACCTGCAACCAAATTAAGTTAAACCAACTTGTTATTTTATAAAAACTCACAAAAAAAATTACATAGGTAAGATGTCCAATGCAGTATCATTTTTATAAACTACCTACTCTGCCGTTCATTATTGAGTTAGATAATATAGTAAATATCTGGTAACATACTGTAAAAAATAATTTATTGCTTTAAAATATCGATAATGATTTTTATTTGTTGACTTTTAAGGGGTTATCCATAAAATACGTCACACTAATTTAGTATTACATTTTGAAAAGTGACGTCACGAAACTTAAGATCCCTCCCATCACGTCACAATATGTCACACTTCGTTGACCCATTCCCTTACCCTTAACGTGTGACGTATTGTATGGATGATCCCTAATGTATAAAAATAATTTAGTTTATTATTATTCGCCCGGGTATAATTTCGTGTTGAGTGTAGCAGTGTGCCTATTTAACAAGATTTGCTGCATTACGCGAGAATTAATTAAAATATTTATCACAATTTTAATGGAATAGCATACAAAATCGTTGTGTTCAAATAAATATCAAAATAATGGTATTTGACTAAACTTACTAACTTTCAAAACAATTAATTTAACTTTTAGGCATAATGTTAAGTCAAATAATTTTATTTTGGTTTTAGACCGGGAGATGATGACACAAAATACTTGGTCATTTGTACCAGTATGGCGGTTCTTCAGGGGTCTAATTACGTAAAGGCAAAAAGGAAAATGATGGTCATAGCGCTCGCACCGGCGGCCCAATTGCGTGGGCGTTAATCGAACGCGTCGGATAAATAACGAGTGTCGAACGATTTGTTCCACAAAAATGCTTATATTTTCAGATAGTCGAAAAAAAGAAGTAGGCGGTAGCGTAATGCCATACTTCTCGGGTGTGACTTACAGCCCGCCATACCGACGCGAATACATTAATTTAAATAAAACAATTCAACCATTTGTACCAGGCTAATTTTTGCACAGCTAATCATCGTCGAGTAGCCATTCACGAAAATCACCTTGCCATGCTTTTCCGACAGTTCCCAATGGCCGCCATACCGCTGCAAAGGAGTAATTTTTTTTTTTTTTCGCCAAACGATTTGTACCACCCTGAAACTTTTTTTAACAGTTCCCCGTATGATCATAAATAGAAGTCTGATAATGCCATACCTGTGGGAGGTGGCGAATGTGAACAATATTTTTTCAAAGTCCCAAGATTTTATTCGTAATTCGAACGATTTGTACCAGTATGGCGCCACTTTTTCCCTCTACTACAAGTATGGCAAATATAATAATGGTCACATTGTATCGTATAATTTCCAAAAATCCAAATGCCATACTGGTACAAATCGTCAAATTTTTTTTTTCTTTTTCACCTTTTAGCTCAAGTCCGACAGTCATCCGCCCCATGTTTACAATCTGTAATATTTTTTTTTTACGTACAATTGCATCCAAATGACGAGAATACAATGATGTCATGATGTAAAAAATGATTTTACCTATTTTGCAGTCGTATTTTTAAAACGTGTCAAATAAATAAGTATTTCAAGTATGGCAGCACTTTTTCCCCCTACTAGAAGTATGGGAAAAATAATAACGGTCACATTTTGCCAAATACTTTCCAAAAATTCAAATGCAATACTGGTACAAATCGTTTGGCGAAAAAAAAAATTACTCCTTTGCAGCGGTATGGCGGCCATTGGGAACTGTCGGAAAAGTATGGCAAGGTGATTTTCGTGAATGGCTACTCGACGATGATTAGCTGTGCAAAAATTAGCCTGGTACAAATGATTGAATTGTTTTATTTAAGTTAATGTATTCGCGTCGGTATGGCGGGCTGTAAGTCACACCCGAGAAGTATGGCATTACGCTACCGCCTACTTCTTTTTTTCGACTATCTGAAAATATAAGCATTTTTGTGGAACAAATCGTTCGACACTCGTTATTTATCCGACGCGTTCGATTAACGCCCACGCGATTGGGCCGCCGGTGCGAGCGCTATGACCATCATTTTCCTTTTTGCCTTTACGTAATTAGACCCCTGAAGAACCGCCATACTGGTACAAATGACCAAGTATTTTGTGTCATCATCTCCCGGTCTATTTGTTACTGGCAAGTTTTACCATTACTGTCAAATTAATTTGTAGATTAGATTAAATTGTATTAATAATGTTGATCAAAAGGTAATTAATTAGTTTTTAGTGTTTATGTCACCTCGAAATAATTATTTAATTTTGAATATTAATTGATTATTACTTATTTTACTTGAATTGTTATATTTTCCCTAGTTTGTACCTATCAATCGCGTATGGTATTTAAAGTCAGAAACATTGCGATTTGCGATGTTTTTGCTATTATATTGAAATCACAATATTATCGTTATTATGTCATTAGTGTACAAATATTATTTTTTTATTACTGTAGACAATTACAGACAAATACAAGCATTTATTTGCAACGGTAAAAATAGTTTTATAGTTTTAAACTAATTGTCATTCTTGATTTTCTGAATACGTGTTTAATGTGTTAAGGTTTGGACTGCCGCTCCCTTAAATTAAGTACTTAATAATCACTTAATTTTTTGAAAACTTAATTTGCATTAGGAAATTATAATTGATAAAACTGTCAAAAATTATATGATTCTTACAATACAGGACTACCTATATTACACTTGTTTGAAATGCTCATTTTGTGATCGCACGTACTTAAATAAACAAAGTAAATATTGCTATTGTCTATTTTTATACCGTAATATTGAAACCGACCCGGAGCTCTATGTTTTATTTTTAATCACTTGTTTGAAGTTGTATTTACGTAAGTAAACTACTTAAGTGTTAAGACTTTGTTTTTCTGCGGTTTTGAATCGTCTTGCTACTGCCGTCATAATGGGAAATGTTGAATTTTATATTATTTACTTACACACAGAAAAAACTTCAAACTGATACATTATCGAAATTAAACTTAAACACTGTGTATTAATAAATTTAGGTTAAACTGAAGAGTTAATTGCCAAATAATGTTCGACGTTTGTTCTATTCCTTACAAACAGAGTTCGCCTACTGACGAGTTCTTGAGACCATTCGTTATGCCGGCACTTCACATGACTATTCGTGTTTGCTCTTTGTGAATTTGACTTCCTTCTGTCCTTTCCCTTCTTATAGAACATGATAAGAACAGACCGTTGTCAAGTTTACAAATAGCAAATACGAATAGCAAACTGTACCCTTTCTCTAACTTTACCCTGTAATCTTTAGCATGCCGACGATCGCTCAAGCCGCGCTTCTGGACCTGCACGAGCTACTCTCTTTCCGTCCACACACACGCTCTTAATTGCGCAGGCACGCTCACAGAAAAGACTGAGCGTGTAGCCGGGCCATTACTCAGTTTGCTTCACGTTCAAAAAGTCTAAGTAGCAAAACGTCTAACACCGCTATACGTCTAATGAACAGAAAGCCTAATTATGTAGTAAAATGTCCATGTAGCATAACGTCCAACTCGCAGATAAATATATAAACTTACTCATATCACAAACAGTAGAGCTTGTGGAAATTTATTTGTTATAAAAAATGTGTTGATTCATACAGACATTTTGAGAATATGAAGATTTGCTAAATAGACGTTCTGCCATACAGACCATCTGAGAGTTGGACATGAGACTTTCTATTGTTTTAAACTTTCATGGTCACTAACATTATAGCAACTAACGGAATTGTTACCATGTACCTTGTTTCTTAAGAGTCTCCGATATTTCGGCACTGTTGCAAGCTCCATGATCACGGACAGACCCGTCTTTCCCAGTGGGCACTTTGGGCAAGTGCCCAGGGCCCCGCGCCCCGCGATCGATAGGGGGCCCCCTCAGATCAAATACACAGCCCCTAGTTCCTGTTAAATCACCAAATGGAAGTCATAGGGGCCCCATTATCCTAATATGCCCAGGGAGGGCCTCGAATAGGTCAAAGACGGCACTGATCACGGAGTAACTCCGTGCTCAAGGTGTGCCGAAATATCAAGCGCCACGATCACGGAGTAACTCCGTGATCATGGCGCTTGCAACAGTGCCGACATATCGGAGACTCATAAAAAACAAGGTGCATGGTAACCATCCCGTTAATAGCTATAATGAGACATTCTGCTCATTAGACGTTTCGCGGTGTTAAGACGTTTTGCTACTTGGAACTTTTGATCGTGAAGCCTCAGCTTGGCTAGATGAGCGCCCAGCATCGCAATCGGGGACAGATATGGCCTGGTCGATATAAATATTGATTTCTATCTTCAATAACAACAGGTTGTTTGTTAATGACTGTTATTGAGACTATATTATGTATTGTTCGTCTTCATAATAGTGTATAGTCTTAGCAGCACGTAACAACCACTCAACGCCTTTCCATTCCACCATAGGACCACCAAGCCAAACGAGGGTCTAACATACCGCATGTCTGTATATCATCAATATTATGACGAAAAACCTTTTTTCCAGGTCTTTTTACTATAATAAGGTCAGGTAAATTTCAATCTTCTAAAACAAAGGCGCAACAAGTAACCATTTTATAACATAATGTAATTCCCTTCCAACTCGACTGATATTATAGTGTGAATGGAATTGGCTTTTATAAAAATGGGATGTTATTCTTAGGGATAAGATCCCATTTTCATCTTTAGAGTCTGTGCGGAAAGAGAGTGGGTGTGGCGAAAAAAGGAACTAACATTAAGATTTTTATTTGGCAATCCAACCCAGCGATCTGTATAACGTCAAAGTTTTTTATTGATACGGATTTGTTTGATGTTGTGATTTCTTGCGGTTTTTTGTATTTAATCAAGTCTAAAAGGGGTAAAACTTTACAAATACGGTAGAAAAGCACTACAGCGCCCTCCAATCTAAACCCCATTCTCTTTCCGCACAGACTCTAGCGATGAAATTTTAATATGGCACACCTGTGAACAATTGTTATTCCTTCAATATTATATATGTTGAAATTGGAACGGTGTTAGGTTGGTGTGGTCAAATTAATGTAATTTATATTCTGTCAAATTGTAAAATTATGTTCCGCCTTTTTAAATGAAGGTATACAGTTAAATTTATAAAAAAATGTATGCACGGACCACACATCTGAAGTGAAACTTCTTTTCTTAAATACCTTACATTCGTTTACCATTGTAAAACAGTTACGTACTCATATGTTTAGGTTTTTGTATCTCTGAAGTTAAATTAATAGGTATGTCAATTAAATAGATATAAATGATGTAAAATTGTTAGAGTAACTCAAACCCTACTGTTGTTTATGTTTCGAGAGTCACTTAACTAAATATCTATAAAGTGGTCGTATTTCGTGTTTACCATTTGAATATTTTCATATATTGTATATTTGTAAATGCATGTAAATAGCCATGTATATCTGTACCAACAAGAAATAAGTTTTCACATAATAATCTTAGAAATCACTATTTGTGCCTGTGAATTAAGATGTTGTTTGTGGTTTTGATGGTGAATATGCAGCTATAACTCATCAGTTGAATGAAGTTAAAATTACCAACTATTAATTATACAAAAAAAAAATTGTAAATTTACAACTTCACCAAATTCTCATTTTTTATATGTAAAATTCTTATATAGAAAATTATAACCTTGCTTAGGGTCCTGCCTGATAATAAATAAATTCCAGATCAAATGTACGTATATATACGTTAAATTTCATTATCTCCTAAAACTTTTCCCAAAATATAAAATGATAAATCAATGAGCATTAAAACTGAGTA